TCATCTCCTGTGATGCCCACGTCAGCCCTGAGGGTGGGCAGAGCAGGAGCTGTGGCCTGCACTTCAAAGTTGGAAGAAATTCTCTTAAAGGCATGTGACTTTCCAGTCACCACACTGCTATGTGATGCACCTGGGGCAGAAACATACCTGAGGCCTTGGGGTCAGAGATGTCTTCACACTCCAGACCTCCAGATCATGCTCTAGACCCCCCAAAACATGAACTCCCCAGACTCTCAAGACATCCTGACCCAAGGTTTCTGTGGGAGGGCTGATGTCCTGGAATAGATGCCTGAGCCCAGATAAAAGCTTGGACACAAGACCTGGCCTCTGTCTCTTCCTTTCCATCCCAGACTCCAAACAGGATGTGGTTTATCTCAAATGAAGCCCCTTGAAAAGACGAGGGTGATTCAAAACAGGGCAATCCTTTCATAGCAGCATCACAGCTGCCACGGGCTACACGTTTCCAATGATCAGCTGGCTACAAGGGACCCCGGCAGCCAACTGATCCCTAACTGTATTAGGCTTTGTAACACCCAACTGTATTAGAAAGCAATATTCTAAACTGTCACATGACCACTTCGCTTCCCTCCACTTGACCAACCCTGGGTGAGCAGCTAATGCTCTTATCTGATAAGGGGCACCTGGGCTGGAGTGTCAGTGGCTTGATGAACTCAGTTTATAAAGCTTCCCACCTGACTTACTATTGGTCTGAGCCACTGTCTGTGCAGCTGGACTAAACCCTGGCTGAGGATGAGCAGTGGCTGCACCAGCACAGAGTGGACCTTTCTTCCTGTTCATTTCTTCCAAACCAAAGGTCAGCATCTTCAGACTCCAATTTCATCCCGAGCCCTGCAGGGACAATGCACAGAGTCCCTTCTCCTCTTAGAGGGGACCCTTCACAGCTACAGCCTGGAGACCCCACCACAGGACTGTCCCTGAGGACCACCCAGGTCCTATTTCTAACCAATATCCATTCCTCTGACCTGAGGGCTCTGTCTCTTCTCACCACTCTCCCCAGCAGCACCCTAAACAGTAGGGATCCTGTCCTCATCCCACCACATTTATATCCATATCAAAACCGCAGCCTTTCCTTTACAAAACCAAAATGTGGCACACATACACCATGGAATACTGTGCATCCATAAAAAAGAGTGAGTTCTTGTCCTTTGCAGGGACATAGTTAAAGCTGGAAGCCATCATCCTCAGCAAACTAACACAGGAACAGAAAACCAAACACCGCATGTTCTCATTCATAACTGGGAGTTGAACAGTAAGAACACATGGTCAAAGGGAGGGGAGCATCACACACTGGGGCCTGTCCAGGGTAGGGGGCAAGGGGAGGGGGAGCATTACGACAAATACTTAATGCATGTTGTGCTTAAAATCTAGATGACAGGTTGATAGGTGCAGCAAACTACCATGGCACATGTATACCTGTGTAACTAACCTGCACATTCTGCACATGGATCCCAAACTCAAAGGAAAATAAAAAAAACAAACCTCAGAATCAAGATTGCTAACATATTGTGTTGGATTTTGGCAACAGTATTAGAAAAAGTTTGACTTTTAATTCACCTTTCTTGTCATGTCTTTTACAGAATTTGCCGTCATGATTTTCCCAGTTGAAAGAGAGCAGTGTGAGCGTGTTCTTGTACATACAAAATTGAAGTTACTTCTATTTAAAATATAGATAGACTCCCAGGGAGACAATAAGGATGGATGTTTGCACGATGGAAAGATATGATTTGCATTAGTTTTTAGGTGCTGGTTGTTTTATGATTTTCCCAGTTGAAAGAGAGCAGTGTGAGCGTGTTCTTGTACATACAAAATTGAAGTTACTTCTATTTAAAATATAGATAGACTCCCAGGGAGACAATAAGGATGGATGTTTGCATGATGGAAAGATATGATTTGCATTAGTTTTTAGGTGATGGTTGTTTTACCTGTGGCGCAGTGCACACATATGACACAGGCAGACTGCTGCCTTCTTACAAACACTGTGTTACACCACCCAGATGTAAATCTCCTGGCAGTCCCTCTTCAGCTAATTTCCAGGCAGTAACCCCAGGAAATACCTACTCTGATCATGATCAATGTATTTTAAATTTATTTTTAAACATCATAAAAATGCAAACCTACAGCATGTACTCTTTTGTTTCTGGTTGAAAATTATATGTGAATATGTGAATTTCACCCATGTTCCACGTGATGAAACATTTGTCATTTTGTACTGCTGGGTCAGTATACAGCATTGTAGAAAGTTGGCACAACTATCTTACACCTCTGTGTTTTTTACATTCACTCTGCTGTTTCTCATGATGGTTGCTTGAAACAAGGCTTCTGTAAAGTCCCCCAGGTGGACAACATCCTTGGCTCATGTCTCTTGAACATAGGTGGCAGGAGTGGGACTGTAGGGTCACAGGTGCTGATGACTGTGGTACACACTAGAAAGCCATTTATCAAAATGGTGGAAACTAAGTATGTTCCCAGAGTAACATGACAGTTCAAGTTTCTCCACATCCTCACCACCCTTTGCATTTTTGTCTCTGATAACGTGCCTATTCTGGTGGGTGTAAGAGTGAGAAACTAGTTCCAATGTGTACTCTGCTAATGACTTGGGATTGAGTGCATTTTCATGTGCTGAACTTGCTGAGGTTTCTAGGATTCTGATAAGGCACATAACCTAATGAGCTCCTGAATGGCTATTTAAGGTGCTTTGTTAGAAGAAGGATCCAACAGGTAAACTTGCAGAAGGATATGGAGCAATGGAAAGATATTAGCAAGGACAATCTAGATTTCATATAAAAAAATAGAAAAGACAGATAAAATGGAAATGTCACTAAAAATGGACAAATATCACAACAAAGCAATTTAGAGAAGGCAAAATGTGGATGAATAAAAGTCCCATGAACACATGTTCTGATCCACCTGAGGTGAAAGAAACCCCTGTGGAGCTCAGCACGTCTGTGTGGGAGGAGCTGCCTGGAACAGCAGAGAGCAAAGCAAAAGGGTTTGAGGGGAGCAAAATGGGAGTGACAGGAGCTGTCAGAGCCCCCCTCAGCAGGAAGCCAGGGAGAGGGCTTGGAGATCAGCCAGCCAGGGTCGGGGCAGGCAAAACCTCTAGGTTCCTGTGGATGCCCTAGAATTGTGCAGTTACTTCTGAGTGAGGCATGAAACCAGTGAGTGTTGAGCAGACAACTAATGTTGCAATTTAAAAAATAAAAATAAAACAAATTTCCAGTCAGGCTGTGGAGCTTCAGAAGCTCTTACTCACAACTGGTCTATTTATAAGGTCAGCCATCCGGCAGGATGTCCCTCAGCACATAGTAACATAAGTGTGCACCCTCCATGCAGCTAGTCCACTGTGGATCAGAGATGGAGGGAAATGCACAGAAGGAAGTCCTCACTGGACATGTGGTATCGGCAGCAACCTGGCTGCTCAGTGCAGGGTTTAAATTAAAATATAGTTTACACAATGCTGACCCGTTGGAAGTAACAGAAATGGTTCATATGCACACATGGATGAAACTAAATGTTTATGTCTGAGTTTAAATCTCAGAAAAAATAAAAAATAAACCAGATGAGGTCTAAAGAGGAAAACTTATTTGCTTAAGAAATGGAAACACACTATGAATTCTTTAAGTATCTGTAGAGATGATTTGGAAGTTGAAGTGGAACCACATGATTTACACTTGAGTTGGTGACTCAGAGATGGAGGAAAACATTAGTTGAAATGGTGATAAGGAAAAATATGAAAGAGAGGCCTTTAGGTGGCTGATGATGAGAGTGCTAATAGTGTGAGTAAATTCTGCTTCTGGGTCCCAGGAAACACCGACAGATAGAAAGTGCCACACATGCTCTGCTGGCACAGCTGGCAGGAACAAGTGACCTCCCTTCAACCCATGTCCCCTTTATTTAGGATTCCCGGCTGCCCTGGCTTCTCTCTGACATTGTGAGCAGCTTTAGAAAGGAGGATCAGGACAGCCAAGGCTCTCCACCTGAGATGCCCTGGTATGTCAGAGGCAGAAAGGCTTTGGGGTCTGAGGGCAGTGTGGGACAGTGAGGGACTCTCCAGAGATGGCCTCTCCCAGCTGGAAAATGACTCAGAGCCTCCATGGGAGTTTGGTCATCAGGGAGCCCACTGGGTAGAGTTGGGTGGCAACATTGACCTGCTAGGACACACCTTCACCCCACTGGCTAAGCTGTGGGAACTCAGGGTAGAGGGGACCAGAACAGGCGGGTCACACCTCTTATTTAAATGCAGTGGCTCTGCTCCCGTGAAGGTTTTGGGAGATGTAAGCTGGCTTCAGAAATCTCAGGCTCCACAGAAGTGTCACGAAGCAGAGTTGCATCTGAGCCATACCCAGGGCTCCTGTCTTTACCCTCCTCACTCACTGCACAGAGGAGGGGGCACCTCACCTGGGGACAGGGATCCACAGTCAGCTCTGCTCCACACACCTGCCCTTCTCACTATGCTGATTCTGAACCACAGTCCCTCCCCTCTGTCCAATTTAGGGTCTGTGGCCCAGGCAGGGCTGACTCAGCCACCCTCAGCATCTGAAGGTTCTGAACAAATGACACAGCTGTCTGCACTGAGGACAGCAGCAACACTGGCAACGTTGACAGCCAAGGCCAACACGACACATTCTTCACATGTACACGCTGTGAGCATTTTCTGTCACTCTGCACTTTGTAAGTCATATTCTTAAAGGGGACTTTTGCTATGCCAGATAGTTTCAATATTTATGTAGACCAATGCTTTTTTTCTCAAGATCAGTATTTTTGTGTCCTAAAACAACTATACATATATGTGTATGTGTACATATATACATAACTGTATACACACATGTATGTGTATATATATACAACTGTGTGTATATATACATACACACATATGTATATAGTTGTATATATACTCATACACACATACGTTCATATAAAAAACTTTGAATTATATCTCAAAGTCTGTTAAAAACATGAATGGCTTGATATTCTAGTGCTAAGTAAGGGATGGCTTTATTTAAAACGTAAATAGTTTCCAGTAGATTCATTTAAAAATGTTGTAGCAGGGATTTCCAGATCACCCCTGCTCCCACCTTTTTATAATTTTTGACTATTTTTCAGAGTCGTGAATCCAATGAGGTGAAGGTGGAAGAAAGCATTTAGAAATCCAGTAGGTACAGGAGAGCTGGTGTTGGGTGAGGCAGAGTGGGGAGAGATGCTCCTTTAAATGGGAGCCTCTGGAACCTGGAGAAAGCAAGATTGAGGTGGGCAACCTTCCTGCAGAGCTACCAGAGGTGTGGATGATACCCCAGCAGTGGATGATGCCCAGGCGTGGATGATGCCCATCTGTGGATGATGCCCCAGGTGTGGATGATGCCTCAGCAGTGGATGATGCCCATCTGTGGATGATGCCTCAGCAGTGGATGATGCCCCAGGCATGGATGATGCCCCAGCTGTGGATGATGCCAAGGTGTGGATGATGCCCCAGCAGTGGATGATGCCCCAGTTATATATGATGCTGCAGCAGTGGATGATGCCACAGCAGTGGATGATGCCCCAGGAGTGGGTGATGCCTGTCTGTGGATGATGCCACAGCAGTGGATGATGCCCCAGGAGTGGATGATGCCCATCTGTGGATGATGCTGTAGCACTGGATGATGTCCCAGGTGTGGATGATGCCGCAGCAGTGGATGATGCCCCAGGCATGGATGATGCCCCAGCAGTGGATGATGCCCCAGCTGTGGAGGATGCCACTGCAGTGGATCATGCTCCAGGCGTGGATGATGCCCATCTGTGGATGATGCCATAGCAGTGGATGATGCCTCAGCAGTGGATGATGCCCCAGGCATGGATGATGCCCCAGCAGTGGATGATGCCCCAGTTGTGGATGATGCCCCAGGCATGGAAGATGCTCCAGCAGTGGATGCCCCAGGTGTGGATGGTGCCCCAGCTCTGGATGATGCCGCAGCAGTGGATGATGCCATCTGTGGATGATGCTGCAGCAATGGATAATGCCCCAGGCATGAATGATGCCCCCTTTGTGGATGATGCCCATCTGTGGATGATGCCCCAGGTATGGATGATGCCCCAGGCATGGAAGATGCTCCAGCAGTGGATGCCCCAGGCGTGGATGATGCCCCAGCTGTGGATGATGCCACAGCAGTGGATGATGCTCCAGGCATAGATGATGCCCATCTGTGGATGATGCCGCAGTAGTGGATGATGCCCCAGGAGTGGATGATGCCCGTCTGTGGATGATGCGACAGCAGTGGATGATGCCTCAGCAGTGGATGATGCCCCAGGCGTGGATGATACCCCAGCAGTGGATGATGCCCCAGGTGTGAATGATGCCCATCTGTGGATGATGCCCCAGCAGTGGATGATGCCCCAGTTGTGGATGATGCCCCAGGCATGGAAGATGCTCCATCAGTGGATGCCCCAGGCGTGGATGATGCCCCAGCTGTGGATGATGCCACAGCAGTGGATGATGCCCCAGGCATGGATGATGCTTCATTTGTGGATGATGCCCATCTGTGGAGGATGCCCCAGGTATGGATGATGCCCCAGCAGTAGATGATGCCCCAGTTATGGATGATGCTGTAGCAGTGGATGATGCCCCAGCTGTGGATGATGCCGCAGCAGTGGATGATTCTCCAGGCGTGGATGATGTCCATCTGTGGATGATGCCCCAGCAGTGGATGATGCCCCAGTTGTGGATGATGCCCCAGGCATGGAAGATGCTCCATCAGTGGATGCCCCAGGCGTGGATGATGCCCCAGCTGTGGATGATGCCACAGCAGTGGATGATGCCCCAGGCATGGATGATGCTTCATTTGTGGATGATGCCCATCTGTGGAGGATGCCCCAGGTATGGATGATGCCCCAGCAGTAGATGATGCCCCAGTTATGGATGATGCTGTAGCAGTGGATGATGCCCCAGCTGTGGATGATGCCGCAGCAGTGGATGATGCTCCAGGCGTGGATGATGTCCATCTGTGGATGATGCCGCAGTAGTGGATGATGCCCCAGGAGTGGATGATGCCCATCTGTGGATGATGCTGCAGCAGTGGATGATGTCCCAGGTGTGGATGATGCCGCAGCAGTGGATGATGCCCATCTGTGGATGATGCTGCAGCAGTGGATGATGTCCCAGGTGTGGATGATGCCACAGCAGTGGATGATGCCCATCTGTGGATGATGCTGAAGCAGTGGATGATGCCCCAGGCATGGATGATGCTTCATTTGTGGATGATGCCCATCTGTGGATGATGCCCCAGGTATAAATGAGGCCCCAGCAGTGGATGATGTCCCAGCTGTGGATCATGCTCCAGGCATGGATGATGCCCATCTGTGGATGATGCCACAGCAGTGGATGATGCCTCAGCAGTGGATGATGCCCCAGGCGTGGATGATGCCCCAGCAGTGGATGATGCCCCAGTTGTGGATGATGCCCCAGGCATGGAAGATGCTCCATCAGTGGATGCCCCAGGCGTGGATGATGCCCCAGCTGTGGATGATGCCGCAGCAGTGAATGATGCCCATCTGTGGATGATGCTGCAGCAGTGGATGATGCCCCAGGCATGGATGATGCTTCATTTGTGGATGATGCCCATCTGTGGAGGATGCCCCAGGTATGGATGATTCCCCAGCAGTAGATGATGCCCCAGTTATGGATGATGCTGCAGCAGTGGATGATGCCCCAGCTTTGGATGATGCCGCAGCAGTGGATGATGCTCCAGGCGTGGATGATGTCCATCTGTGGATGATGCCGCAGTAGTGGATGATGCCACAGTAGTGGATGATGCCCCAGGAGTGGATGATGCCTGTCTGTTGATGCCACAGCAGTGGATGATGCCCCAGGAGTGGATGATGCACATCTGTGGATTATGCCCCAGCAGTGGATGATGTCCCAGGCATGGATGATGCTTCATTTATGGATGATGCCTATCTGTGGATGATGCACCAAGTATGGATGATGCCCCAGTTATGAATGATGCTGCAGCAGTGGATGATGCCCCAGCTGTGGATGATGCCGCAGCAGTGGATGATGCTCCAGGCGTAGATGATGTCCATCTGTGGATGATGCCGCAGTAGTGAATGATGCCCCAGGAGTGGATGATGCCTGTCTGTGGATGATGCCACAGCAGTGGATGATGCCCCAGGAGTGGATGATGCCCATCTGTGAATGATGCTGCAGCAGTGGATGATGTCCCAGGTGTGGATGATGCCACAGCAGTGGATGATGCTCCAGGCGTGGATGATGCCCATCTGTGGATGATGCCACAGTAGTGGATGATGCCCCAGGAGTGGATGATGCCTGTCTGTGGATGATGCCACAGCAGGGGATGATGCCCCAGGAGTGGATGATGCCCAAGCTGTAGATGATGCTGCAGCAGTGGATGATGCCCATCTGTGGATGATGCCACAGCAGTGGATGATGCCCCAGGAGTGGATGATGCCCCAGGTATGGATGATGCCCCAGCAGTGGATGATGCCCCAGTTATGGATGATGCTGCAGCAGTGGATGATGCCTCAGCTGTGGATGATGCCACAGTAGTGGATGATGCGCCAGGAGTGGATGATGCCCCAGGAGTGGATGATGCCCATCTGTGGATGATGCTGCAGCAGTGGATGATGTCTCAGGTGTGGATGATGCCACAGCAGTGGATGTTGCCCCAGGCATGGATGATACCCCAGCAGTAGATGATGCCTCAGCTGTGGATGATGCCACTGCAGTGGATCCTGCTCCAGGCGTGGATGATGCCACAGCAGTGGATGATGCCTCAGCAGTGGATGATGCCCCAGGCGTGGATGATGCCCCAGCAGTGGATGATGCCCCAGGTGTGAATGATGCCCATCTGTGGATGATGCCCCAGCAGTGGATGATGCCCCAGTTGTGGATGATGCTCCAGGCATGGAAGATGCTCCAGCAGTGGATGCCCCAGGCGTGGATGATGCCCCAGCTCTGGATGATGCCACAGCAGTGGATGATGCCCATCTGTGGATGATGCTGCAGCAGTGGATGATGCCCCATTTGTGGATGATGCCTCCGGCATGGATGATGCCCCAGGCATGGAAGATGCTCCAGCAGTGGATGCCCTAGGTGTGGATGATGCCCCAGCTGTGGATGATGCCACAGCAGTAGATGATGCTCCAGGCATGGATGATGCCCATCTGTGGATGATGCCACAGTAGTGGATGATGCCCCAGGAGTGGATGATGCCCGTCTGTGGATGATGCCACAGCAGTGGATGATGCCCCAGGAGTGGATGATGCCCATCTGTGGATGATGCCACAGTAGTGGATGATGCCCCAGGAGTGGATGATGCCCGTCTGTGGATGATGCCACAGCAGTGGATGATGCCCCAGGAGTGGATGATGCCCGTCTGTGGATGATGCCACAGCAGTGGATCATGCTCCAGGCATGGATGGTGCCCATCTGTGGATGATGCCACAGCAGTGGATGATGTCTCAGCAGTGGATGATGCCCCAGCAGGGGATGATGCCCCAGGCATGGAAGATGCTCCAGCAGTGGATGCCCCAGGTATGGATGATGCCCCAGCTCTGGATGATGCCACAGCTGTGGATGATGCCACAGCAGTGGATGATGCTCCAGGCGTGGATGATGTCCATCTGTGGATGATGCCGCAGTAGTGGATGATGCCGCAGTAGTGGATGATGCCCCAGGAGTGGATGATGCCTGTATGTTGATGATGCCACAGCAGTGGATGATGCCCCAGGAGTGGATGATGCACATCTGTGGATGATGCTGCAGCAGTGGATGATGTCCCAGGCATGGATAATGCTTCATTTGTGGATGATGCCCATCTGTGGATGATGCACCAAGTATGGATGATGCCCTAGCAGTGGATGATGCCCCAGTTATGAATGATACTGCAGCAGTGGATGATGCCCCAGCTGTGGATGATGCCACAGCAGTGGATGATGCTCCAGGCGTAGATGATGTCCATCTGTGGATGATGCCGCAGTAGTGAATGATACCCCAGGAGTGGATGATGCCTGTCTGTGGATGATGCCACAGCAGTGGATGATGCCCCAGGAGTGGATGATGCCCATCTGTGGATGATGCTGCAGCAGTGGATGATGTCCCAGGTGTGGATGATGCCACAGCAGTGGATCATGCTCCAGGCATGGATGATGCCCATCTGTGGATGATGCCACAGCAGTGGATGATGCCTCAGCAGTGGATGATGCCCCAGGTGTGAATGATGCCCATCTGTGGATGATGCCCCAGTTGTGGATGATGCCCCAGGCATGGAAGATGCTCCAGCAGTGGATGCCCCAGGCGTGGATGATGCCCCAGCTGTGGATGATGCCGCAGCAGTGAATGACGCCCATCTGTAGATGATGCTGCAGCAGTGGATGATGCCCCAGGCATGGATGATGCTTCATTTGTGGATGATGCCGCAGCAGTGGATGATGTCCCAGGTGTGGATGATGCCGCAGCAGTGGATGATGCCCATCTGTGGATGATGCCACAGCAGTGGATGATGCCTCAGCAGTGGATGATGCCCCAGGCGTGGATGATGCCCCAGCAGTGGATGATGCCCCAGGTGTGAATGATGCCCATCTGTGGATGATGCCCCAGCAGTGGATGATGCCCCAGTTGTGGATGATGCTCCAGGCATGGAAGATGCTCCAGCAGTGGATGCCCCAGGCGTGGATGATGCCCCAGCTCTGGATGATGCCACAGCAGTGGATGATGCCCATCTGTGGATGATGTTGCAGCAGTGGATAATGCCCCAGGCATGGATGATGCCCCATTTGTGGATGATGCCTCCGGCATGGATGATGCCCCAGGCATGGAAGATGCTCCAGCAGTGGATGCCCTAGGCGTGGATGATGCCACAGCAGTAGATGATGCTCCAGGCATGGATGATGCCCATCTGTGGATGATGCCACAGTAGTGGATGATGCCCCAGGAGTGGATGATGCCCGTCTGTGGATGATGCCACAGCAGTGGATGATGCCCCAGTTATGGATGATGCTGCAGCAGTGGAAGATGCCACAGCTGTGGATGATGCCGCAGCAGTGGATGATGCTCCAGGCGTGGATGATGCCCATATGTGGATGATGCCACAGTAGTGGATGATACCCCAGGAGTGGATGATGCCTGTCTGTGGATGATGCCACAGCAGGGGATGATGCCCCAGGAGTGGATGATGCCCCAGCTGTAGATGATGCTTCAGCAGTGGATGATGCTCCAGGCGTGGATGATGCCCGTCTGTGGATGATGCCACAGCAGTGGATGATGCCCCAGTTATGGATGATGCTGCAGCAGTGGAAGATGCCACAGCTGTGGATGATGCCGCAGCAGTGGATGATGCTCCAGTCGTGGATGATGCCCATATGTGGATGATGCCACAGTAGTGGATGATACCCCAGGAGTGGATGATGCCTGTCTGTGGATGATGCCACAGCAGGGGATGATGCCCCAGGAGTGGATGATGCCCCAGCTGTAGATGATGCTTCAGCAGTGGATGATGCTCCAGGCGTGGATGATGCCCATCTGTGGATGATGCTGCAGCAGTGGATGATGTCCCAGGTGTGGATGATGCCACAGCAGTGGATGATGCCCCAGGAGTGGATGATGCCCCAGGTATGAATGATGCCCCAACAGTGGATGATGCCCCAGTTATGGATGATGCTGCAGCAGTGGATGATGCCTCAGCTGTTGATGATGCCACAGCAGTGGATGATGCTCCAGGCGTGGATGATGCCCGTCTGTGGATGATGCCACAGCAGTGGATGATGCCCCAGTTATGGATGATGCTGCAGCAGTGGAAGATGCCACAGCTGTGGATGATGCCGCAGCAGTGGATGATGCTCCAGGCGTGGATGATGCCCATATGTGGATGATGCCACAGTAGTGGATGATACCCCAGGAGTGGATGATGCCTGTCTGTGGATGATGCCACAGCAGGGGATGATGCCCCAGGCGTGGATGATGCCTCAGCTGTTGATGATGCCACAGCAGTGGATGATGCTCCAGGCGTGGATGATGCCCATCTGTGGATGATGCCGCAGTAGTGGATGATGCCCCAGGAGTGGATGATGCCTGTCTGTGGATGATGCCATAGCAGTGGATGATGCCCCAGGAGTGGATGATGCCCATCTGTGGATGATGCTGCAGCAGTGGATGATGTCTCAGGTGTGGATGATGCCACAGCAGTGGATGATGCCCCAGGCATGGATGATGCCCCAGCAGTAGATGATGCCTCAGCTGTGGATGATGCCACTGCAGTGGATCCTGCTCCAGGCGTGGATGATGCCCATCTGTGGATGATGCCACAGCAGTGGATGATGCCTCAGCAGTGGATGATGCCCCAGGTGTGGATGATGCCCCAGCAGTGGATGATGCCCCAGTTGTGGATGATGCCCCAGGCATGGAAGATGCTCCATCAGTGGATGCCCCAGGCATGGATGATGCCCCAGCTGTGGATGATGCCGCAGCAGTGAATGATGCCCATCTGTGGATGATGCTGCAGCAGTGGATGATGCCCCAGGCATGGATGATGCTTCATTTGTGGATGATGCCCATCTGTGGAGGATGCCCCAGGTATGGATGATGCCCCAGCAGTAGATGATGCCCCAGTTATGGATGATGCTGCAGCAGTGGATGATTCCCCAGCTGTGGATGATGCCGCAGCAGTGGATGATGCTCCAGGCGTGGATGATGTCCATCTGTGGATGATGCCGCAGTAGTGGATGATGCCCCAGGAGTGGATGATGCCTGTCTGTGGATGATGCCACAGCAGTGGATGATGCCCCAGGAGTGGATGATGCCCATCTGTGGATGATGCTGCAGCAGTGGATGATGTCCCAGGTGTGGTGATGCCGCAGCAGTGGATGATGCCCCAGCTGTGGATGATGCCACAGCAGTGGATCATGCTCCAGGTGTGGATGATGCCCATCTGTTGATGATGCCACAGCAGTGGATGATGTCTCAGCAGTGGATGATGCCCCAGGCATGGAAGATGCTCCAGCAGTGGATGCCCCAGGTATGGATGATGCCACAGCAGTGGGTGATGCCCATCTGTGGATGATGCTGCAGTAGTGGATGATGCCCCAGGCATGGATGATGCCCCATTTGTGGATGCCCATCTATGGATGATGCCACAGTAGTGGATGATGCCCCAGCAGTGGATGATGCCCCAGGCATGGAAGATGCCCCAGCAGTGGTTGATGCTTCAGGCATGGATGATGCCCATCTGTGGATGATGCTGCAGCAGTCAATGATACCCCAGGTGTGGATGATGCCCATCTGTGGATGATGCCACAGCAGTGGATGATGCCCCAGGTATTGATGATGCTGCAGCAGTGGATGATGCCCCAGCAGTGGATGATGCCCATTTGTGGATGATACCACAGCAGTGAATGATGCCCCGGCTGTGGATGATGCCGCAGCAGTGGATGCCCCAGGTATGGATGATGCCCCAGCAGTGGATGATGCCCATCTGTGGATGATGCCGCAGCAGAGGATGATGCCCCAGCAGTGGATGATGCCCCAGCTGTGGATGATGCTGCTCCAGGCGTGGATGATGTCCATCTGTGGATGATGCCACAGCAGTGCATGATGCCCCAGGAGTGGATGATGCCTATCTGTCGATAATGCCACTGCAGTGGATGCCCATTTGTCGATGATGCCCCTGGAGTGGATGATGCCCATCTGTGGATTATGCCGCAGGAGTGGATGATGCCCATCTGTGGATGATGCCCCAGGTATGGATGATGCCACAGCAGTGGATGATGCCCCAGGCATGGATGATGCCCATCTGTGGATGATGATGCAGCAGTGGATTATGCCCCAGGTATGGATGATGCCACAGCAGTAGATGATGCCCCAGGCATGGATGATGCCCATTTGTGGATGATAATGCAGCAGTGGATAATGCCCCAGCAGTGGATGATGCCCCAGCTGTGGATGATGTCGCAGCAGTGAATGATGCTCCAGGCATGGATGATGCCCATCTGTGGATGATGCCCCAGGAGTGGATGATGCCCCAGCAGTAAATGATGCCCCAGGAGTGGATGATACCCCATCAGTGGATGATGCCCTAGCTGTGGATGATGCCCATCTGTGGATGATGCCCTTGATGTCCCAGCCATGGATGATGATTCAGCTGTGGATCAAAGCCAACAGTTGTTTTCAAGAAAAATCTAGTATACAAGTCATTAGTGAGATTTATCAAGAAAAAAGGGAAATCACAAAATTAATATCAGAAATTAATAGGAAGACATAACCACAGAGAGAGCAGAGATTACAAAACAATCAGTGGATATTATGAATACATAACTTGTTTTAAAGCAATGCTTTGTTTCACTTTGGCTGGTGTTTATATGCTGCAGTAGCCGGCCAATAGTGAGAGTCTCCTCATGGAGGAGGCTTGGGTTGAGGCTGAAGATCTTTAACATGAATGCACAAGAAAGTTGCCATGAGCGGATGGAAACCAGGCTACCAATCAAGTGCTGCACAGAGTTCGAACCTGTCCTTCTCCTCATCATTTTCAGCTGGCCGGGTTTGAGCATTTTAGGGCTTGGGAAGATAATATTACTAAATCTACTAAAAGATATCACCGATCCTTATATGCTTTGGCCAATTGCTGAGCAAATTAACTTCAAAACTGAAGTGGGCCGCATTGGCCAGTGTGGTCCCCAACTCCTCTTAGAATTTGTGAGCTTGGGGCCTGCTGGAGGGTGGACGGTGGGAGGAGAGGAAAGATCAGGAAAATAACTGATATTAGGCTTAATATCTGGATGATGAAATAACCTGTACAACAAACCCTCATGACACACATTTACATATGTATCAAACCTGCTCATCCTGCACAGGTTCCCCTGAACTTAAAAATTAAACAAAAAGGATCTGTGAGCTGACCCAAACACCTGGGGATCTTTGTGCTTTTCACACTGATGATTATGCCGGTCTGTAGGGAGATGTACCTGTAACTGCCCTGGGTTGTGTGACCATGGAGGCCACTTTATAATGACAAGCAGTGTCTGGGACTTCCTTAGGGCTTGTACACGAATGCTGGACTCCCTTCATGGTGGCAAACACCCCATGACTGAGAGCATGCCAGTAGTTGCCAGTGTCAGCACTGGCCCACACTCCTTGGTTTGTGTTTTCACTTTTTCATACAGGAACTCAGGAGCTGGGGCCAACCCCTGGCAATTCAGGTTCTCCACCTGAGCTGTGAGGATAATAAACCAGACCCAGGGATGGCTCTGGTGAGGGTGGAGGAGTCACTGTACAGAGTAGAGTGGGGCTGGATTTTATTCTTTAAAAGTGGACACTGGAGAATGGGTTGTATAAATGGGAAATCTCTCCTGAGAAAACACACAGCCTCACCTTCACAGAAGCACACACATTCACATCACATGATGCAGCCTCACACAAGACACCACCAATCCTCAAGCACCCAACTCTGTACCAGCCAAAAGGGAGCACAGCTGCTGCCTCAAAATTTGGCCAGGATTTTTCCCTGGGGAACTCAGGTTTCTAAAAAACACTTTCACTATGCTTATTCCTATCACAATCCCAGAATCAGGGTGGCACTGTACATTGAAACCAGCTTTTTTTCTTGACAATAATTCCAGAATACTTACCAGAGTCACACTTCAGATGGAACACCGGCACTACCTGCAACACAGAAACAAAGCACGTCGTGCTGTGGATTGCTTGCAAAAGGTTCTGTTTCTCTCAATGAATACTGAAAACCTGATCACAAACTTAGTCAGCTGCTACAGTAATCAAAACAGCATGGTACTGGTACCAAAACAGAGATGTAGACCAATGGAACAGAAAAAAGTTTCATTGGACAGGACAGAATGGGTGGCCACAGAAGCCTGGGATAGATTTTATGTCCCCACAACACAGCAGTGAGCACACTTCATGGCGTGCTGATGCTTACCGAATGGTACAACTGAGGACAGGGTGACTCTGTTTGATTGTATCTGTTTTTATTCCAAGAGGCTCAACAACATGCTCTATGGAAGCATGATCCTTCAAATGCACTCATCTATCCTTTCAGTAATTTTTCACTCCCTCAGCCAAGAGCTTCTCCATCTGGGTTTCTGCAACACCAATCTCAAACCCATAAAGCAATGGGTCATGGCAACCCCGCTAAGCTCACACGCCCAGCTGCGGAAGCAAACTTCACTTTACGGCAAGTCTACTTCACCACTACAGGCAGTGCAGCATGTTAGTTTATAGATTAGCCTGTGGTGTTAGAGAGATCCAGCTGTGGGTGTGTCTCGTGAATAATTTACTTAACTGAGACTCACATTCCTCATCTGTATAATGAATAGAACCAAACTAATTATGCCTCAAAGTGACTGTGATGCTTCAAAGAGGCAACATAGAGAAGTGACCACATAGTATCCCTGACTCAAATGTATATCAGTTATCCTTCACATTTTAATAACTTAAGCAGCTGTTATCAAGTACAGTCATGTGGCATAGTGACATTTTGATCAATGGTTACTTACATGGCTGGGGTCAGATGGGCGTACACAAACCTACTGGCCTGCATCATTAGATTAAAACAAAATTTTTGGTTAAAATTTTAAGTAAGATGCTATACAATTAAAAGACTAACCACAGTGATGGAATTTTTAGGGAGAGATAAAATTAAAAGTGCACAAGGATTTGAAGAAATGTCTCCTCACATATGCTGCTATAGGAACAAGAATTAGCATCACCATTCTGAAAAATATTTGGCACTATTCATGACAATAAAAGATATGTTCCCTTCTAACAATCTACTTCACAGAAATGAGTGCCAGTATTATTCCAAAACCAGTTACACTTACAAACATGAATGAATTTCAAATCATAATGTGAGCAAAAAAGCCAGACACCAAGAATCACATATTGAATTATTCTATGTATGAGAGTCCAAACCTGGAGAGGGCTAAACAAGTCATTAGCAGTCAGAGCAGGTCCCTTAAGGAAGAAGATGATTAAAGGAAGGAAATTTCAGGGAGGAACCAGGGATGCCTGAACTTGTGCCATCTCACCCTCTCAGATGTCAGGGTACCAAAAGAGGGTGCTGGCAATATTTAGGTGGTTCAAAGGTCTCATGAAGAAAAGTAAATTACAGACAGCAGCAAACTCAGTTCTTTAATGAAGGGCCCCAGACTGGATAGAGGATGCCCACTTAGTTTTGCATCTTATTATGTAAAATGAGGATCCTCCAAAGATAAAAATGTCATCCATAGCACAGCATGGACAGAATTATGTGCTATCAGCACATTTTATCCTATGGAGTTTCCTGCACAACTTTTAGCAATCTGTGAATAAAAGGTCCGGAACTTAACTTATAAATATCAACTTAGAGAACAACAGAAGCCTAATTTTTGAAGACAGGAAATAGTGTAATGCCATCTCTGTGGGAAGGAACTCTTGGTTTCCCCAAAAATTAGAGAACTGGAGAGAAAGAAGCCTCATCTCAGAATCTGCGGTAGGGGTGGGAAGTGGAGGCTACAAAGATGCTCAAGGTCAGACTCCCTCTCTGCCTTCCCAGGAGACTGGAGATACACCAGTGAGCCCAGAGTGAATATTCACTCTGCCATCCACCCCTGGGAGATCCCTTTAAACCCGCAGAGAAAACAGAAACATAAACGTGCTATAACAAGTCTTAAAAGTTCAGAGGGTGATTATCAATTTCCCCTTAGCACACAGCAGAGCTTTTTCTCTAAGTTCAAGTAAATGCCTGTGAGAAAGATGTTCCCACAGATTCCTTCCTTTCCTTACAGATGACACTCAATGCCCAGCCCTACATCCCTTGTGCATAATCCCAAGGAGTGCTGAGTAATCCAAACCAAAGGTTTTGATGTTTCCCTGGGAAAAAAAGAGCAGGTGTACTGCAGAGATTATCTCTAATGAACACAGCACCCTCATAGCCCAGAGACACGGTTCCTATTTTTATGACAACAAACTTTGAAAAGAGCAAACCAAACCTTGCACACATTTTCATTTTCTTTCTGATTTCATACCCCCTGCTTCAGCCCCTCAAGCAGCGGGGATAACCTGAAGGTGAAGGCTCTTAGGAACCCTTTCCCATTAGGTCCTACCTGGAAAGTAGTTCCCTACCTTGGGGGTCATCTTTGTGGGGTTTGAAGTTGCTCCCCAGGATCCAGCCTTTAGAAACAAAAACATCAGGACAAGTCATTAGAAAGAGTGACTCACCCACTCCTCTTCCAGCAGCTAAAGCCATGTGACCTCACACATCATTCCCTGGTATTTGTTCTGAGTTAATAAACCTTCCTACAGCCTCTCTGGCTGGAGTTCTATATTGGCCTAATCACTTTCTCTCAGGAGACCCCCAATCCTCCTTCCCAGTGGGATCCCAGAATCAGGATTCTATACACTCAAGAGGCAAGCTGGTCCCTCATGATGTGAGTTACTTCATGGTACTTACTTCTCACCCTTTCCTGGGATGCTCTCTGCAAGTATACAAAAGAAAACATTATGAGTCTGAGACACTGTGGTGCACCTCACAGATATGTTATTCCCTTGACAAGGGTAGAAAATAAGAAGTGGCACAGCGGCTGAGCCATAGGTCAACATCCCCAAAACCATGAGGATACTTATGGAAAAATAAGGTCTTTATTCACAGAATTCACCTTTAAAGTTGATTTAATGGGCAAACACACAATTCTTAATCCAAGGAGGAAAACGTGTTGAGGAACGTGCCTCGGCATTACAGCTGATAATGGATGCTGTCATTTGAAAACCTCCCAGTGGATTGCATGTTAGTTGGGAAGACATTCCCACTGAATTTCACCCCCACAAAGAGAATTGCATACACTGTACATAATGTACATTTTCAGATTTTCATATCCAAATTAATTGAGAAGAAATCACAAAAGCAAAATTTCTTTAGAAGACAAAGAAAAGGAGTCTTACATAGAGAACTTCCTCCTCCAGATCTTCTTCCCCTGTCCAGGATCTGAGTCCGACTGTGCTTGCTTGGTCATTTGAAGACACTGGAAGTACACAGAGGAAAGCTCAGCACCCTGGTGGTTTGTGGCTGTGAGTTACTCAGGGAGCTTTGCTGGATGTGGGGTATGGAGGTGGGTGATGATCAAGCATGGACCGAGTTGTTGCTGGGCTGTCCCCCTGGGTGGAAGAGGGCTGACAAGGGAAGGCAGCAGGAAAGAGATGAGACATGGAGGTCTCCGCCTCATACTAGAGGCATCATGCAGCAACACAAAAGAGTCAACCGAAAGGGGAAACTCAAATGCACACTAAGGTTCAATGGAAGAGTGCCTTTCTGCCTCTCACACGTTTTGAAGCTCTTTTAAACCAACAGCATATTCAAGACTATGTCAGTACTCTAGGACTCAATCATGCCGATGCTACATTTAGCATCAGTTTTAAAGATGCATAATAAAAACCTGGGTCTACCCAGCCCCTTATCTGAACAGACTTTCTTCTATTGATTCGAGGTTTTTGAACTCAACCAATTGACAATCAAAAAATCTTGAAATCTTCCTTATGACCTGGAGCCCCAATCTTCTCCCACTTTCTGTTGTCCTGTCTTTCTCAATGGAAGAAACTGACATCTTGCATGTATTAATTGATGTCTTATGTCTCTCTAAAACATGTAAATACCAAACTGTAGACCGATCATCTTGGATATATGTACTCAGGACCTCCTGGGGCTGTGTCACTAGCATGTCCTTAACCTTGGCAAATTAAACTTCTAAATTGATTGAGACTGGTTTTAGATAACCTTTTGGTTTGCAATGTGTAATCATAGTGAAGTTTATTTTTTAGAAGAGGACACTAGGGATTTATTATGTCAAATAGAAATAACAATATTTGTTTATGTGATTTATGTCCCAAGAACATTTTTTCATTTATGGATTCACATGAAGAGAAATGGCTGTCACATAAATGGCTGTCGCTGCAGTTCTGTTTTTTAGAATTTTCAATCCTTGAATAAAAACTAAGTTGATCAGACAGGTGTATTCAATTCTAGGCAAAACAGTCTATTTTAGTTATGTACTAAACTTTTGTTATAGTTAATGATGGAAGAATTGGAAACATTGAAATTATAAAACAACTGGTGTTAATCACATGAATAGTTCCTTCTTCAGTCCACCTTTCCTTTGTCATGCATGTGCAGTAATTGCCTATTGAGGAAACCTATGCTTTTTTGCTGCCTTGTCATTGTGTCTAATGAGTGTAGTTTGCAGAATTTGATCATTTCTAGGTCTTGTGGTGATAAGAGTTTTCAACCATCTAAAAAAATATCTCATTCATCTTATTTGTTTGGGGCCAACTGCTGAGGAATGTCCCCAGCACTGAAAGGAGTTTCTCAATATTTCTAAGTACTGCTTCCTAATATTCAGAACTTGCACTTGACACTCTTGTCAGAGGTATCTGGGGCAGCTCTGTAGTAGTCACACCAATGGCTGTGCCATATCCTGCAGTTATATTCACTGTTGTCTGCCCTAAGCCACATGACTGCTGCAGCCATCTTAGAATCATAGACAGTGTTTGGTATTTCTGTAGACTCATGTAAATCTAGGACTTGCATGTGTGAGGGAACCAACTTACAGCTACCCATGATGGTAGGGTTGAGAGCCATCCTCCTCAGGGTAATAACTGCAACAATTCATTATCAATTCAGCTTTAGAGCTATAACCCTAGGTTCATATCTTGCCTCCTTCCTTTAGGGGCTTAAAAGCATGGGCACATTCCTTAGCCCTTCGGTTTTTCCATTCAAGGAGTGTGTGGATAGTAAACAATCACTGTTTAGGTGAGGTCTGTAGTGAGGATTGAATGGGTTTATTAAAATAAACTATGTATTGTAGATCTTCAGAATGGTAAATTAAAAAAGAACTGACTTGCTTGATATCTCAAAGCTTAACACATTCCAGACCTGCATGCAAACCCAAGATATAAGCTCCCAAGTCAGGGGTGAGGCCACAATGCACAACTGCTCAGTCCAAAACTAGTCATTTCAACTTAATTCTAACCTTGGGACAAAAGAATGAGATATGAGTATCAAAAATGCTTTTGGTGACATCCTGATTCCACACAGTAGCTACTTCTGAAAAAAATAAAATTTAAGTACATGTTGTCTACAAAATGAGCCAGTGACCTGATGAAAGATCAACAGATACCTGGTCAAATGGAATAAACACCAGTTTACTTGGGGAAGAGAATTATCTACCATATTGGAAGGTTCCAAGCATGTGATATCATATCCTGTATGATTTCTTTCTCTTAAATGAAAAGTGGCTCAAACTGAGGCTGTTGCCAAGTTATGGAGATGACCGTAGCTTAGCCTTGGCAAAGTGCTCTGGATAGTGTCACGAGAGACCTGATTTGTGCATTCCTTCCTTCTGAGGAGGGTAATAGGTTGGGTGAAAGCATATTATTCATATCTCTGTACATAGGGAATTTTGAATAATCCACAAAAGTATGTTTAAAACTATGTTTTGGTAGGTAAACTGGCCTACACACAGATATTATCAGTATGTATTTGGGAAAACTTGTGATATGAGTAGAAGTAACATGCTCTCAAATACTGTGAACTAAATATACATTTAGGCTGATGAAAAGAGGGAAGCCATGGGAATAGCAACATTAGGTTTCTTTCTTGTGCGTTTTCCTTCACATTTCCACATTCTAGATTCACTTCAGATTCTGAAGTCTAGAGTTTAAAAGATAATTGATGGTGGAAAAACAGAAGCACAATAGATTTTCCTATATTCTTCACAAAAAGGGAAGTTAGATGTGCAGAATCTAATCAGAAATACTGCATTTTACTCTACAGAAAAATAATAAACATACAATAGCATGAACAAAGAATTAGAACTATAAATTATGAAATAAGTAGGCAAAGTATTTCTTGAACAACCTTACTACACCAATTGAAAGGACACCATTCAGTAGATGAATATGAACAGACCTTCACAGTAATATAATTGAGAAGAGAGGTATGAAGCTGAGAACTTCTTTCACATTCTGCATATGGAAAATTGGAGATAGTCTACAAGAATGCTATTCATGCTAATACAGTCATCAAAATTGCAGAGTACAAGGTTAACAGTCAAACAACAGTTGTGTTAATATGCACTCAATATCAACAATCCAATAGCAAGATTACAAATGTAATTCCATGAATAATAACCTCTGAAATCATCAGATACATAGAATCTAACCAATGAGATGACATACTTGTAACCTGGTGAGAACAGAATGTGACTGAAAGAAAATAGAGAAGGTACAAATAAATGAAGAGGCATCCCGTATTCACAGACAGGAGGACAAAACCTGACTAATACACAATACTGCAAAATGATCCAAAGATGCACAACTACTATGAAACTGGTAACAGCCATCTGTGCAGAAATAGAAAAGATAACCCAACTTTTTTTTTGAATTCTTGAATGTCTCAAATAATCATAATAATGTTGAAAAAAATAGGGTTGGAAGATACACATTCATGAGATTGAAATCTACGAGAGGAAAAGATACAGAAATTCAGACAGCAGGGTCCTAGCATGGGGGCACCCATAAGTATTGGAGATATGGAATAGAGAGCCCAAAATTCAATGCATGCACACAGTCAACTGATCTTCAACAAAGCTGCGAGAATACACAATGGGAAAAGGAAGGCCTCTTTAACAAATTATGGTAAAACTCTATATCATTTAAATAACAAAATTCAGCAGTGTGCTCAAGGGTGTGCTTCTTCCTCTATTTACAAGACACTGGAGCTTTGCAATGACCCCAGAGCAAATCTTCATCCTGTCCCCCATGCCTGGAGAGAGCTTTTGATATCAGGAATAAACAGCAAGGACAGACAAATGAATGTGCTGCCATGAAACCTAACAGTTCAGAAGGTGAGGATCTGTTTCTCCCAAGCATCTGAGCACACTGTGGAAGACTTTTTTGTCTCTGGGATTAAGTAACTGTCATGACAGAACTGTGTCCCAAACCAAAGGCTTTAACATTTGCAGTGGCAGAGGCAGAAAAGAGGTATCCTCAGAAAGACCATGTTTAAATAATAAAGCAAGAACAGGGGATACACACACACACAAAAATAGGTGATCACAAAGTACTCACACTTCTCACCACTATTACATTAAACTCTGACAAGAACAAACTTTGTCCATGTTTTCTTTTTCTTCTCTTTCTACATGCTCGCTCAGCCTCCCAAGCAGCAGGCAGAAGCTGAAGGCTTCTGGGAACCTGCTTTATTAGATTCCACCTGTAATCTTGTTGCCTACCTGGAAAGGCATCTTCTTCACTGTTGAGATTTTCCAGAATCCCCTCTTTAGAACCACCAACAGCAGAGTAAGTTAGAGAGAGGTGTACTCATTTCTACTCCAGCTGAAGCCACGTCAGCTCACACAACATCCCCTGGCTGGTCCTCTGGGTTCACATGCATTCATACAGTCCCTCCGATCATAGTTATACACTTGCAAAATTATTTGCTCTCACTAGACCCCCAATATTCTTTAACCAGAACCCAGAATCAGGTTTCTATATATTAAAACCAGCAAGTTTGTTCCACAGCAAGTGAGCTACTTAAGGGTACATACCATAACCAATGAGTGATGAACTCTGCAATAAGACAAAAGAAGACACGATGAGGATCAGATTAATGCTTCTGCACCCCCCCCACCCAAAGATCTGTCAGTCTCTTGATGACTTCAGGAAACTAGTTGTAAAACAATGGTTGAGTCAAAGGCCAAGAATCAAACATGCTACTAGTATAGCAGACACCTGTGGAAAAGACAAGACCTTTTCCCACAGAATTTATCTAGAAGTTGATTTACATTGGCAAATACACAATGCCTAAACCAAAGAGGAAAACTGGTGTTGAGGAAAATTCCTCTGTGTTACAGTTGATAATGGAAGCTGTCATCTAAAAACATTCTAATATATCACATATCTGATGGGAAGACACTCCCATTGAATTCCAACCCCAAAAAAAGAATTGGACATGTAAGACATAATGTGACTTCTCAGATTATCACAATTAACAGAAGGAAAAAAATCAGAAAAGAAACAATTCTTTTTTCATTTTGTTTTCCTTTGAAGTTTAGGTTCCAGGATGCACATGCAGGACTGTGCAGGTTTATTACACAGGTAAACACGTGCTATGGTGCTTTGCTCCATGTATCAACCCATCACCTAGGTTTAAGCCCCACATCCATTAGCTATTTATCCTGATGCTCTCCCTCCCCAATCCCCACCTGACATGGCATTCTTTAGAGGACAGAAATAGGGGTTCTTACCTTGCCATCCTCAGAAGTGATGCTCCTACAATCCTCAGGAGAAGCTGGAGGGAGACAGAGTAAAAGTCAGTACCCTGGTGGCTGGAGACTGAGTAACTCAGGGAGCTTTGCTGGGTGTGGCATATGGAGTGTGGGACTAAAGATTCTGAGACCATCTCAGAGAAACAACTATGTTCAAATAGTACCATGAGGGAGTCTCAATAGATATCTTTCATCTTAGACAATGACCTAATAATACTCTCACATTCCCAATTACCAAAAGATATTAACCAATCAAAAAGCAAGGCTTAGATGTTTGCTGTGACATAGTCAGGAAAAACTGGTCTCCTGGGAAAAGTAATCATTAAATACCAGAGCAAGAAACGATGGTTACAAAAGCAGCCCACAAAGCCCATGGACACACATCCTCTCATCTCTCTCTTATTAAAATACAACAGAAACAAGTCAGACCTCTACAGCTATTTTTTGTTTTTTGGTTCCGGCTTCATAGCCCCCTTCCTAGGTTCCAAAGCAATAGGTGTAACCCAACTGCTCCCAAAAATACTTCTAGGGTATCATTTTTGTTTTTTTGTTTGTTTGTTTGTTTGAAACAGAGTCTTGCTCACCAGGCACCAGGCTGGAGTGCAGTGGTGGGATCTCAGCTGACTGCAACATCTGCCTCCTGGTTTCCAGCAATTCTCCTGCCTCAGCCTCCTGAGTAGCTGGGACTACAGGCACACACCACCACGCCCAGCTAACTTTGGTAGTTTTAGTAGAGATGGAATTTCACCATGTTGCCAAGGATGGTCTTGATCTCTTGACCTCGTGACCCGCCCACCCCAGCCTCCCAAAGCACTGGGATTAATGGCCTGAGCCACTGTACCCGGCCTAGGGTATCATTTTCTACCTACAGAAATTATCCTATTGCAGCTTCACTCGTGGATGTTGTCCACTGGTCAATCTTTAGACACAAATCTCAGCAAGAAGTTATTTCAGAGAGTGACTCACCCACCCTCCTACTCCAGGTGAGGTCACATTGGATTACACGAGATCACCCTGAGCTTTCCTCCATGTTCTCAGACTCCCTCCAGGCTCTGTGGAGCCAGAGGTCTTCAACAAGGCATTGCTTACACTTTTCAGCCTTCAAGTAAGAAAGAGAAGCTGAAGGAATCACCTTTCCATGTTTTCTTCCACTGGCCCATGATAGGTCTCACCTCCAATCCCACAACCCTGAGATCCCAACTTTGATGTGCACACTTTGAGTGACATGAGTCCAACAATCAGACCCTGGGCCAGTTTCACAGCAGACATGCAAGACAGCATTCTGTGGGGATGGAAATGCTCTCTGATGTATGGCTGCTGGGCCATTGCATGGTGGCTGTTGTGATGAGGTTTTGAATATTTCATTGTATATATTTGTTTATTTAACTATAAAGAGGCATGTATATGACTGAGAAGCACACTAGACAAGACAGCTCCAGAGATCCAGACATGAGGAAGACCTGACTTCCCTCTCCAGGTGTTTTTTGCAGAATCATTTGCTGCTCTGATCCTACCACCATTTACAGTTACTTCCTGGGCATCTGCACAAGGGCCCGTCACTGTGTGGGGCTGGAGATAGGACAGTGAAAACAACATCCATGTCCAAAGGAATTCCAGCAGGGATGCGCTTGCATCCAGTGGAAGAGTGTGGCCCTATGCACCCTGTCTAGACTAGATCAGAGCAGCAGGAGCAGAGGGGTGGGGGCATCTCCCTGTCCTCAGGAGCTCACCCTCATCTCCAGAGACCCTGACTCAAAAGCTGGGCAGGCTCCAGAATAAGTGTGTGGCTCAACAAGCTGGACAGGCTGAGAAAAAACCTTTCCACACTTGCACTAGATCCCAGCCTAGGGGTGACCTAGAGCTCATCCCAGGGGTGTGTTTATTAAAACATCCATGGAGGCTAATGTGTCTGTCCCAGGACTGAGCTCTGGGGTAAGGATGAATGAGGAAGACACAGTCACTGCCCTTCTAGTAAATACCCAAAGCCAGGGTTTCTCTATTCACCTGTGGGAAGACTCAGACTTTGAGATGAAAGATTTTAAACCATCTCCAAAATAAGTGGAAACCGAGATGTTATGGATTGCACAGAAGAGTTGCAAGGATGACCTGGAGTCTGGAATCAGTCCCCAGCCCTTTGCTGAGATCACCCTGCACTGGAACTCATGTCCCTCCCCACCTGCCCTGCTAATTTGGAGTGCTGGAACTGCCCAGGCCAAAAGCTAGAAGACACTGTCCAGTTGAAAAGCATTTCTGGGCCAGAAGACCCTTGGCTAACAGGGTCTACTGAAGAATCATTCCTCAGGAGATTTCCAGAAAAGGTAAAAAACAAAAACTTGTCTGTCTCAGCCCCAGGAAGATCAGTCCTGGGACCTCTCTGTGTCTGGTCTGACCCTGAGGTCCATTCCTACTGACTCATGTCCTGTCTGTTTAGTGTCAGAAAAATGGGGACCTGATTCCTGTTCTGCCCCTCTCCGCAATGACACTCTGCTGGTATCATTGCCATCATTGCACAAAGAGATGGAGAAGACATAGGTCAGGAAGGAAGCTCCTTTCTCAAGGCATTTAGAGTGATGTTCACACCAAGCTTTCAACAGAAAGGAAGGCCAAGTCCTACTCACTCCTCCCCAGAAGGGGTCTCATATCCTGCCTGAGCCCTGGTGATGACGCTAACCTGATGCCTCTAACATTGCAACCTTGACATTCTCTTATAACAATGTCCCAAATATTCTCATTTTCTTTCCCTCTGATCCTCTAAATCATGTTCCCCTTCAGGTCTAGAATGAGGCTCTGCCTTGCTCTCTCCCATGGAGCCCACTAAGCAGGTGTCCATGAATTCTGAGAACCTCAATGTTGGTAACACTGATATTTTCCTTGACTCACACACAGCAGAAACCCTGCAGCACCAATGGGAAGCTTGGTCCAAAGATTAAAGATGTCTAGGACAATCTGGTCATGAGAAAATCACTTCTAGGGTGAACAAGTGACATTGCACAATCAAACAGTTTCATTCTTTTGTTCAATTGGGAAAATACTGACACATACAAAACAATCAAATTTTACTGAAAAGCAATGCATTTCCACAGAATGAATGCTCCAAAAATAAAACCCTCAAACCATCATGTGGTCCACTTGATCTTCGTCATGACTTAAAGCATCTACCTTGGCTCTCTGTGTGTGAAGGTTTTCAGAAGGAAACGAAAACCTAGTTAAACAGTAGCATCAATAAGGCATGATAGAAATTCTCCTGTGTCAGAGCCGAGTTCTTCATGGAGCCATCTGTTTCTCACAACACGCCCCAGATCCTCACACCTATCAGGAACCTGAAGCTAGGGAGGTCCTCCAGAGAAAAGCAAGCAAGAAAATCCCCCCTGACTCATCACTTAAATTTGTCATTAGGAAGAAAGTGATATTAGAATATGTACAATGTTAGAGAGGGGAACAACACACACTGTGGGGGAAGTGAAGGAGAGAGCATCAGAATAAAGAGCTAATGTATGCGAGGCTTAATACCCAGGTGATGGGTTGACAGGTGCAGCAAACCTTGACACACTTTTAGCTATGTAACAAAGCTGCACATTCTGTATACGTATCCACAAAATTAAAATCAAATTTAAATTTAAGAAGAAATTTAAATTGAAAAAAATTGCAAAAGAAGGCAAATTTAGAGAAACAGAAAGCAGCTTCACGGCTGCCTAGGAGCAGGGGTGTGGGCCTTGGGAAAAAATAGAAGTGACTACTAATGGCTATAGGGTTTCTCTGAGACATAATGAAAAGATTCTAAACTTAGATTGTTTTAGATGGCTGCATAACCTTGTAAATACAAAAAAAAAAAAAAAAAACTACATCACCCACTTTAAATAAGTGAATTATTTTGCATGTCAACTGTGTGAAAATAAAGCAGTTTATAATAAAAAAAAAATACGTACGAAGGTCATTTAGGGCTGTCACGGTGTCCTGCAACAAAAGAAAAACACACAAAACATAGTAAGCATCATATGCTGGGTGCTGTTGGTGCAGGCCTTTTCATATGGTGACATTAGAAAACCATGTCACTGGTCCACAAATGAAGCATAGAAAATGCTTCTGGAAAAAAAAAGTGGGGTGTTTTGGAAATTTAGTAAGTGGCCATGTCAGCTGGCAAGTACAAAATAATTTCTCAAATAGAAAATGATGCTAATAAGAAACATGCCCACGACCAGATTGTAAGTTATGCCATCAATTGACTGACATTGTCAATCAGGCCTCAGTTAGTCAGAAACACCACTGACTGGTCACTAGAGTCCATGACAACTGAGGTCGGATTCACAATGGCAGTCAAAAATAATATTCACTTGATATTCCAGAGGCCCCAGAAATGAAAATTTCTCTTTGAGACACAGAAATGCATCTTACCACGTCAGGGGGAATCTCATCATCTGCAGTGTCTTTTAAGATGAGGTCCTGCAGGACCTCAACAGGACCTAAGAGAACACAGAGTGACAGTCAGTGCATTGGTGCTGCTGAGGAATCTCACAAAAAGCTTTTGGAAATGTGGACCACGCTGAAGTGTATAAAGCTGGGCGTTTGACAAGCATGGAACGAGCTGCTGCTGGACCATTCTCCTTGGTGCTGAAGGAAGGAAAAGGAGAGGGGCAGAAAGAAATGAAAGAGCCTTGGCTTCCTAGTTAGGGCAACCTCATCAATGTGAAATCGTCATTTGAAGAACCGGTTATTGCAGGAAGACAGTGTATTATAGAAACAGGAAGTAGATTAGGGCTGCCTAGAACCAGGGGTGTGGGGGTTGGGAAAAACAGAGGAGTCACTACTAAGGGGGTTTTCTGAGAGGGAACTAAGAGCTTCTAAAATTAGATTCTAACAATGGTTGTACAACCCTGTAAATATAGTAAAATCACTGAATCACCTACTTTAATGGGTGAATTGGTTTGCATGTCAACTACGTCTCGGTAAGTGTTTAAAAGAAACAGAATACGTACGGTGGTGACACTGGGCTGCTGGCTTCTCCTGCGATAAGAGAAAAAGAAACACCATGAGGATTACATCATGCTGGGTCCTGTTGGCACAGTTCTTGTATTCACTTGGTGACATGAGAAAACCAGATGGCAGGCTGGGCTCAGTGGCTCAAGCATGTAATCCCAGCATGTTGGGAGGCTGAGGCGGGCAGATCATGAGGGCAAGAGATTGAGACCATTCTGGCTAACATGGTGAAACCCCATTTCTACTAAACGCTACAAAAAAGTGGGTGTGGTCGTGGTGAGAGCCTTCAGTCCCAGCTACTCGGGAGGCTGAGGCAGGAGAATTGCTTGAATGCAGTAGGAGGACGCTGCAATGATCTGAGATCACACCACTGCACTGTAGCCTGGTGACAGAGAGACTCTGTCTCAAAAACAAAACTAAACAAAAACAACAGATGTCAAACAGTGATGAAGTCACCGGCCCCTAATGGAGCACAGGGGATCCTTGCAGAAAATGCAGTGGGTTTGGAATATTTAGCAAGTATCTATGCTGGTTGAAAAATACAAAATTATTTTTCAAGAAGAAAATGATGCTACTGAGAAATATGCCCACGACCAGATTGTAAGTTATGCCATCTTTTGACTGACATCATCAATCAGGCCTCAGTTGGTCAGAAACTCCACTGAATGGTCGCTAGAGTCCATGACAACTGAGGTCTGATTCACAATGGCAGTCAAAAATAATATTCACTTGATATTCCAGAGGCCCCCGAAATAAAAATTTCTCTTTGAGACAAAAAAATGCATCTTACCACATCAGGGAACAGCTCCTCATCCTCTATGTCTTCTATGACAAGGTCTTGTAAGACCTTAACAGGACCTAAGAGAACACAGAGTGGCTGTCAGTGCACTGGTGCTGCTGAGGCATCTCACAAAAAGCTTTTGGAAATGTGGACCAGGCTGGAGTGTATGGAGCTGGGCATTTGACAAGCATGGACTGAGCTGCTGCTAAACCATTCTCCTTGATGCTGAAGGAAGGAAAAGGAGAGGGGCAGAAAGAAATGAAAGAGCCTTGGCTTCCTAGTTAGGGAGACCTCATCAATGTGAAATCGTCATTTGAAGAACCGGTTAATGCAGAAAGGCAGTGTACTATAGAAACAGAAAGTAGATTAGGGCTGCCTAGAACCAGGGGTGTGGAGGTTGGGGAAAACAGAGGAGTCACTACTAAGGGGGTTTTCTGAGAGGGAACCAAGAGCTTCTAAAATTAGATTCTAACAATGGTTGCACAACCCTGTAAATATAGTAAAATCACTGAATCACCTACTTTAAATGGGTGAATTGGTTTGCATGTCAACTACATCTCGGTAAGGTTTTAAAAGAAACAGAATACGTACGGCGGTGATACTGGGCCACTGGCTTCTCCTGCAATAAGAGAAAAAGAAACACCATGAGGATTACATCATGCTGGGTCCTGTTGGCACAGGTCTTGTATTCACTTGGTGACATGAGAAAACCAGATGGCAGGCTGGGCTCAGTGGCTCACACATGTAATCCCAGCATGTTGGGAGGCTGAGGCGGGCAGATCATGAGGGCAAGAGATTGAGACCATCCTGGCCAACATGGTGAAACCCCGTTTCTACTAAACACTACAAAAAAGTGGGTGTGGTCGTGGTGAGAGCCTTCAGTCCCAGCTACTCGGGAGACGAGGCAGGAGAATTGCTTGAATGCAGTGGAGGACGCTGCAGTGATCTGAGATCACACCGCTGCACTGTAGCCTGGTGACAGAGAGACTCTGTCTCAAAAACAAAACTAAACAAAAACAACAGATGTCAAACAGTGATGAAGTCACCGGCCCCTAATGGAGCACAGGGGATCCTTGCAGAAAATGCAGTGGGTTTGGAATATTTAGCAAGTATCTATGCTGGTTGAAAAATACAAAATTATTTTTCAAGAAGAAAATGATGCTACTGAGAAATATGCCCACGACCAGATTGTAAGTTATGCCATCTTTTGACTGACATCATCAATCAGGCCTCAGTTGGTCAGAAACTCCACTGAATGGTCGCTAGAGTCCATGACAACTGAGGTCTGATTCACAATGGCAGTCAAAAATAATATTCACTTGATATTCCAGAGGCCCCCGAAATAAAAATTTCTCTTTGAGACAAAAAAATGCATCTTACCACATCAGGGAACAGCTCCTCATCCTCTATGTCTTCTATGACAAGGTCTTGTAAGACCTTAACAGGACCTAAGAGAACACAGAGTGGCTGTCAGTGCACTGATGCTGCTGAGGCATCTCACAAAAAGCTTTTGGAAATGTGGACCAGGCTGGAGTGTATGGAGCTGGGCATTTGACAAGCATGGACTGAGCTGCTGCTAAACCATTCTCCTTGATGCTGAAGGAAGGAAAAGGAGAGGGGCAGAAAGAAATGAAAGAGCCTTGGCTTCCTAGTTAGGGAGACCTCATCAATGTGAAATCGTCATTTGAAGAACCGGTTAATGCAGAAAGGCAGTGTACTATAGAAACAGAAAGTAGATTAGGGCTGCCTAGAACCAGGGGTGTGGGGGTTGGGGAAAACAGAGGAGTCACTACTAAGGGGGTTTTCTGAGAGGGAACCAAGAGCTTCTAAAATTAGATTCTAACAATGGTTGCACAACCATGTAAATATAGTAAAATCACTGAATCACCTACTTTAAATGGGTGAATTGGTTTGCATGTCAACTACATCTCGGTAAGGTTTTAAAAGAAACAGAATACGTACGGCGGTGATACTGGGCCACTGGCTTCTCCTGCAATAAGAGAAAAAGAAACACCATGAGGATTACATCATGCTGGGTCCTGTTGGCACAGGTCTTGTATTCACTTGGTGACATGAGAAAACCAGATGGCAGGCTGGGCTCAGTGGCTCACACATGTAATCCCAGCATGTTGGGAGGCTGAGGCGGGCAGATCATGAGGGCAAGAGATTGAGACCATCCTGGCCAACATGGTGAAACCCCGTTTCTACTAAACACTACAAAAAAGTGGGTGTGGTCGTGGTGAGAGCCTTCAGTCCCAGCTACTCAGGAGACGAGGCAGGAGAATTGCTTGAATGCAGTGGAGGACGCTGCAGTGATCTGAGATCACACCGCTGCACTGTAGCCTGGTGACAGAGAGACTCTGTCTCAAAAACAAAACTAAACAAAAACAACAGATGTCAAACAGTGATGAAGTCACCGGCCCCTAATGGAGCACAGGGGATCCTTGCAGAAAATGCAGTGGGTTTGGAATATTTAGCAAGTATCTATGCTGGTTGAAAAATACAAAATTATTTTTCAAGAAGAAAATGATGCTACTGAGAAATATGCCCATGACCAGATTGTAAGTTATGCCATCTTTTGACTGACATCGTCAATCAGGCCTCAGTTGGTCAGAAACTCCACTGAATGGTCGCTAGAGTCCATGACAACTGAGGTCTGATTCACAATGGCAGTCAAAAATAATATTCACTTGATATTCCAGAGGCCCCCGAAATAAAAATTTCTCTTTGAGACAAAAAAATGCATCTTACCACATCAGGGAACAGCTCCTCATCCTCTATGTCTTCTATGACAAGGTCTTGTAAGACCTTAACAGGACCTAAGAGAACACAGAGTGGCAGTCAGTGCACTGGTGCTGCTGAGGCATCTCACAAAAAGCTTTTGGAAATGTGGACCAGGCTGGAGTGTATGGAGCTGGGCATTTGACAAGCATGGACTGAGCTGCTGCTAAACCATTCTCCTTGATGCTGAAGGAAGGAAAAGGAGAGGGGCAGAAAGAAATGAAAGAGCCTTGGCTTCCTAGTTAGGGAGACCTCATCAATGTGAAATCGTCATTTGAAGAACCGGTTAATGCAGAAAGGCAGTGTACTATAGAAACAGAAAGTAGATTAGGGCTGCCTAGAACCAGGGGTGTGGGGGGTTGGGGAAAACAGAGGAGTCACTACTAAGGGGGTTTTCTGAGAGGGAACCAAGAGCTTCTAAAATTAGATTCTAACAATGGTTACACAACCCTGTAAATATAGCAAAAACACTGAATCACCTACTTTAAATGGGTGAATTGGTTTGCATGTCAACTACATCTCGGTAAGGTTTTAAAAGAAACAGAATACGTACGGCGGTGATACTGGGCCGCTGGCTTCTCCTGCAATAAGAGAAAAAGAAACACCATGAGGATTACATCATGCTGGGTCCTGTTGGCACAGGTCTTGTATTCACTTGGTGACATGAGAAAACCAGATGGCAGGCTGGGCTCAGTGGCTCACACATGTAATCCCAGCATGTTGGGAGGCTGAGGCGGGCAGATCATGAGGGCAAGAGATTGAGACCATCCTGGCCAACATGGTGAAACCCCGTTTCTACTAAACACTACAAAAAAGTGGGTGTGGTTGTGGTGAGAGCCTTCAGTCCCAGCTACTCAGGAGACGAGGCAGGAGAATTGCTTGAATGCAGTAGGAGGACGCTGCAGTGATCTGAGATCACACCACTGCACTGTAGCCTGGTGACAGAGAGACTCTGTCTCAAAAACAAAACTAAACAAAGACAACAGATGTCAAACAGTGATGAAGTCACCGGCCCCTAATGGAGCACAGGGAATCCTTGCAGAAAATGCAGTGGGTTTGGAATATTTAGCAAGTATCTATGCTGGCTGAAAAATACAAAATTATTTTTCAAGAAGGAAATGTTGTTACTGAGAAATATGCCCACGACCAGATTGTAAGTTATGCCATATTTTGACTGACATCGTCAATCAGGCCTCAGTTGGTCAGAAACTCCACTGAATGGTTGCTAGAGTCCATGACAACTGAGGTCTGATTCACAATGGCAGTCAAAAATAACATTCACTTGATATTCTAGAGGCCCCCGAAATAAAAATTTCCTTTTGAGACAAAGAAATGCATCTTACCACATCAGGGAACAGCTCCTCATCCTCTATGTCTTCTATGACAAGGTCTTGTAAGACCTTAACAGGACCTAAGAGAACACAGAGTGACAGTCAGTGCACTGGTGCTGCTGAGGCATCTCACAAAAAGCTTTTGGAATTGTGGACCAGGCTGGAGTGTATGGAGCTGGGCATTTGACAAGCATGGACTGAGCTGCTGCTAAACCATTCTCCTTGATGCTGAAGGAAGGAAAAGGAGAGTGGCAGAAAGAAATGAAAGAGCCTTGGCTTCCTAGTTAGGGAGACCTCATCAATGTGAAAGCGTCATTTGAAGAACCGGTTAATGCAGAAAGGCAGTGTACTATAGAAACAGAAAGTAGATTAGGGCTGCCTAGAACCAGGGGTGTGGGGGGTTGGGGAAAACAGGAGTCACTACTAAGGGGGTTTTCTGAAAGGGAACGAAGAGCTTCTAAAATTAGATTCTAAGAATGGTTGCATTGCACAACCCTGTAAATATAGCAAAAACACTGAATCACCTACTTTAAATGGGTGAATTGGTTTGCATGTCAACTACAGCTCGGTAAGGTTTTAAAAGAAACAGAATACGTACGGCGGTGATACTGGGCCGCTGGCTTCTCCTGCAATAAGAGAAAAAGAAACACCATGAGGATTACATCATGCTGGGTCCTGTTGGCACAGGTCTTGTATTCACTTGGTGACATGAGAAAACCAGATGGCAGGCTGGGCTCAGTGGCTCACACATGTAATCCCAGCATGTTGGGAGGCTGAGGCGGGCAGATCATGAGGGCAAGAGATTGAGACCATCCTGGCCAACATGGTGAAACCCCGTTTCTACTAAACACTACAAAAAAGTGGGCGTGGTCGGGGTTGAGAGCCTTCAGTCCCAGCTACTCGGGAGACGAGGCAGGAGAATTGCTTGAATGCAGTGGAGGACGCTGTAGTGATCTGAGATCACACCGCTGCACTGTAGCCTGGTGACAGAGAGACTCTGTCTCAAAAACAAAACTAAACAAAAACAACAGATGTCAAAGAGTGATGAAGTCACCGGCCCCTAATGGAGCACAGGGATCCTTGCAGAAAATGCAGTGGGTTTGGAATATTTAGCAAGTATCTATGCTGGCTGAAAAATACAAAATTATTTTTCAAGAAGACGATGATGCTACTGAGAAATATGCCCACGACCAGATTGTAAGTTATGCCATCTTTTGACTGACATCGTCAATCAGGCCTCAGTTGGTCAGAAACTCCACTGAATGGTCGCTAGAGTCCATGACAACTGAGGTCTGATTCACAATGGCAGTCAAAAATAACATTCACTTGATATTCTAGAGGCCCCAGAAATAAAAATTTCTCTTTGAGACAAAGAAATGCATCTTACCACATCAGGGAACAGCTCCTCATCCTCTATGTCTTCTATGACAAGGTCTTGTAAGACCTTAACAGGACCTAAGAGAACACAGAGTGGCAGTCAGTGCACTGGTGCTGCTGAGGCATCTCACAAGGAGCTTTGAGAAATGTGGACCGGGCTGGAGTGTATGGAGCTCGGCGTTTGACAAACATGGACCGAGCTGCTGCTCGACCATTCTCCTTGGTGCTGAAGGAAGGAAAAGGAGAGGGGCAGAAAGAAATGAAAGAGCCTTGGCTTCCTAGCTAGGGAGACCTCATCAATGTGAAATCGTCATTTGAAGGACCAGTTAATGCAGAAAGGCAGTGTACTATAGAAACAGGAAGTAGATTAGGGCTGCCTAGAACCAGGGGTGTGGGGGGTCGGGGAAAACAGAGGAGTCACTACTAAGGGGGTTTTCTGAGAGGGAACCAAGAGCTTCTAAAATTAGATTCTAACAATGGTTGCACAACCCTGTAAATATAGTAAAATCACTGAATCACCTACTTTAAATGAGTGAATTGGTTTGCATGTCAACTACGTCTCGGTAAGTGTTTAAAAGAAACAGAATACGTACGGTGGTGACACTGGGCCGCTGGCTTCTCCTGCAATAAGAGAAAAAGAAACACCATGAGGATTACATCATGCTGGGTCCTGTTGGCACAGGTCTTGTATTCACTTGGTGACATGAGAAAACCAGATGGCAGGCTGGGCACGGTGGCTCACGCATGTAATCCCAGCATGTTGGGAGGCTGAGGCGGGCAGATCATGAGGGCAAGAGATTGAGACCATCCTGGCCAACATGGTGAAACCCCGTTTCTACTAAACACTACAAAAAAGTGGGTGTGGTAGTGGTGAGAGCCTTCAGTCCCAGCTACTCGGGAGACGAGGTAGGATAATTGCTTGAATGCAGTAGGAGGACGCTGCAGTGATCTGAGATCACACCACTGCACTGTAGCCTGGTGACAGAGAGACTCTGTCTCAAAAACAAAACTAAACAACAAAAAAAAAACAGATGTCAAACAGTGATGAAGTCACCGGCCCCTAATGGAGAACAGGGGATCCTTGCAGAAAATGCAGTGGGTTTGGAATATTTAGCAATTATCTATGCTGGCTGAAAAATACAAAATTATTTTTCAAGAAGAAAATGTTGCTACTGAGAAATATGCCCACGACCAGATTGTAAGTTATGCCTTCTTTTGACTGACATCGTCAATCAGGCCTCAGTTGGTCAGAAACTCCACTGAATGGTCGCTAGAGTCCATGACAACTGAGGTCTGATTCACAATGGCAGTCAAAAATAATATTCACTTGATATTCCAGAGGCCCCAGAAATAAAAATTTCTCTTTGAGACAAAGAAATGCATCTTACCACATCAGGGAACAGCTCCTCATCCTCTATGTCTTCTATGACAAGGTCTTGTAAGACCTTAACAGGACCTAAGAGAACACAGAGTGGCCGTCAGTGCACTGGTGCTGCTGAGGCATCTCACAAGGAGCTTTGAGAAATGTGGACTGGGCTGGAGTGTATGGAGCTGGGCGTTTGACAAGCATGGACCGAGCTGCTGCTGGACCATTCTCCTTGATGCTGAAGGAAGGAAAAGGAGAGGGGCAGAAAGAAATGAAAGAGCCTTGGCTTTCTAGCTAGGGCGACCTCATCAATGTGAAATCATCATTTGAAGAACCGGTTAATGCAGAAAGGCAGTGTACTATAGAAACAGGAAGTAGATTAGGGCTGCCTAGAACCAGGGGTGTGGGGGGTTGGGGAAAACAGAGGAGTCACTACTAAGGGGGTTTTCTGAAAGGGAACCAAGAGCTTCTAAAATTAGATTCTAACAATGGTTGCACAACCCTGTAAATATAGTAAAATCACTGAATCACCTACTTTAATGGGTGAATTGGTTTGCATGTCAACTACATCTCGGTAAGTGTTTAAAAGAAACAGAATACGTACGGCGGTGATACTGGGCCGCTGGCTTCTCCTGCGATAAGAGAAAAAGAAACACCATGAGGATTACATCATGCTGGGTCCTGTTGGCACAGGTCTTGTATTCACTTGGTGACATGAGAAAACCAGATGGCAGGCTGGGCTCAGTGGCTCACGCATGTAATCCCAGCATGTTGGGAGGCTGAGGCGGGCAGATCATGAGGGCAAGAGATTGAGACCATCCTGGCCAACATGGTGAAACCCCGTTTCTACTAAACACTACAAAAAAGTGGGTGTGGTCGTGGTGAGAGCCTTCAGTCCCAGCTACTCGGGAGACGAGGCAGGAGAATTGCTTGAATGCAGTAGGAGGACGCTGCAGTGATCTGAGATCACACCACTGCACTGTAGCCTGGTGACAGAGAGACTCTGTCTCAACAACAAAACTAAACAAAGACAACAGATGTCAAACAGTGATGAAGTCACCGGCCCCTAATGGAGCACAGGGGATCCTTGCAGAAAATGCAGTGAGTTTGGAATATTTAGCAAGTATCTATGCTGGCTGAAAAATACAAAATTATTTTTCAAGAAGAAAATGTTGCTACTGAGAAATATGCCCACAACCAGATTGTAAGTTATGCCATCTTTTGACTGACATCGTCAATCAGGTCTCAGTTGGTCAGAAACTCCACTGAATGGTCGCTAGAATCCATGACAACTGAGGTCTGATTCAAAATGGCAGTCAAAAATAATATTCACTTGATATTCCAGAGGCCCCAGAAATAAAAATTTCTCTTTGAGACAAAGAAATGCATCTTACCACATCAGGGAACAGCTCCTCATCCTCTATGTCTTCTATGATAAGGTCTTGTAAGACCTTAACAGGACCTAAGAGAACACAGAGTGGCAGTCAGTGCACTGGTGCTGCTGAGGCCTCTCACAAAAAGCTTTGGGAAATGTGGACCGGGCTGGAGTGTATGGAGGTTGGTGTTTGACAAGCATGGACCGAGCTGCTGCTGGACAATTCTCTTTGGTGCTGAAGGAAGGAAAAGGAGAGGGGCAGAAATAAAAGAGCCCTGGCTTTCAAGCTACGGCAACCTCATCAATGTGAAATCATCATTTGAAGAACCAGTTAATACAGAAAGGCACCTACTTTAAATGGGTCAATTGGTTTGCATGTCAACTATGTCTCAGTAACTGTTTAAAAGAAACAGAATACGTACGGTTGTGATACTGGGCCGCTGGCTTCTCCTGCAATAAGAGAAAAAGAAACACCGTGAAAATTACATCATGCTGGTTTCTTTTGGCACAGATCTTGTATTCGTTTGGTGACATTAGAAAATCAGATGGCAGGCTGGGCACGGGGGCTCACACATGTAATCCCAGCACGTTGGGAGGCTGAGGCAGGCACATCATGAAGTCAAGAGATTGAGACCATCCTGGCCAACATGGTGAAACCTTGTCTCTACTAAAAACTACAAGAAACCTGGCATGATGGTGCAATGAGCCTGTAGTCCCAGCTACTCAGGAGACTGAGGCAGAATTGGTTGAACCCAGTACATGGAGGTTAGAGTGATCTGAGGTCACACCACTGCACTGTAGCTGGGTGACAGAGAAAGCCTCTGTCTCAACAACAACAACGAGAAAACCAGATGTAGAACGGTGATCAAGTCACTGGCCCCAGACGACGCATAGAGGATGTTTGCAGAAAATGCAGTGCATTTGGAAAATTTAGCAGGTGTCCATGTTCTCTAGGAAATTTTTTCAAGAAGAAAACGATGCTACTGAGAAACGTGCTCACGACCAGTTTGTAGGTGATGTCCTCATTTGATGGACATCATCCATCAGGCCTCAGTTGGTCACAGTCTCCAGTGACAAGTCGCTAGAGTCCAAGACCCCCGAGACCTAATTAATGATGGCAGTCAAAAATCATATTCACTTTATAGTCTAGAAGCCCCAGAAAAAAAAAATTTCCAGACAAAAAAATTTACCATGTCAGAGGCAACCTCTTCCTTCTTACTGCCATGTGTACACTCCTCTGAGTCGTCAACAGGAGCTAGGAGTACACAGAGTGACAGTCAGTGCATTGGTGCTGCTGAGGAATCTCACAAAAAGCTTTGGGGAATGTGTGTATGGAGGGGCTGGAGTGTGTGGAGCTGGGTGGTTCACAGGCATGGACTGAGCTGCTGCTGGACCATTCTCCTGGTGTTGAATGAAGGAAAAGGAGAGGGGAAAAAAGAAATGAAAGAGCCTTGGCCTTCTAGCTAGGGCAAACTCATCAACATGAAACAGTCACCTTAAGAACCGGTTAATACAGAAAGGCACTGTATATAGAAACAAGAAGTACATTAGGGCCGCTTAGAACCAGGGGTGCAAGGTTGGGAAAAACAGAGCGGTTTCTACTAATGAGGTTTTTTTGAGGAGGAATGAAAAGGTTTTAAAATTAGATTGTAACATGGGTGCATAGCCTTTAAATACAGTAAAAACACTGAATCACCCACTTTAAATGGGTGAATTGGGTTACATGTCAACTACATCCTAATGAAGCTATGTTGAAAAAAGAATACGTACTGTGTTGATATTCATCTGTAGCATTTTCCTGCAGTTAGAGGGGGAAAAAAAACCACCATGAGGATCAGATTATACTGGGTCCTGACTGCACAGGTCTTTTATTCACTTGGTGAATTTCATGCTTATAGAAAGGGCAGTGGGTTTCTTTTGGACAGATTCTTGCTCTGTCACCCAGACTGGAGTGCAATGGCATGATCTCGGCTCACTGCAACCTCAGCTTCCTGGGTTCAAGCAATTCTCCTGTCTCAGCCTTCCAACTAGCTGTGACCCCAGGTACCTGCCACCATGCTCGGCTTATGTTTGTATTTATAGTAGAGATGGGGTTTCATTATATTGGCCCTGTCTGTCTCAGCCTCCCAAAGTGCTGGGATTCCATGTGTGAGCCACCAAGGAAGTGGGTTTTCATGGAATGTTTAGCAAGTCCATGTTGGCTGCCAAATACAAAATTATTTTTCAGGAAGAAAATGTTGCTACTGAGAAATATGCTCACTACTAGTTTGTAAGTGATGCCATCTTTTGACTGACATCATCAATCAAGCCTCAGTTGGTCATACATTCCAGTGACTGGTAGCCAGAGTTCATGACAGCTGAGGCCTGATTCACAATGGCAGTCAAAAATGATATTCACTTGATATTCTAGAAGCTTCAGAAAAAGACATTTCTCTTCAAGACAAAGAAATGCATCTTACTATGTCAGGTGATGTCTCCTGAAACTTTTCAGTTTTGCACTCCTTTGGTTCTTGAACAGGAGCTAGGAGAACACAGAGAGACAGTCAATGCACTGGTGATGTTGAGGAATCCCACAAGGAGGCTTGGGGGATGTGGCCCAAAGCTGCAGTGTATGGAGGTGGGCTGTTGACAAGCATGAACTGAGCTGCTGCTGGGCCACTCTCCTTGGTGCTGAAGGAAGGCAAAGGAGAGGGGAAGAAAGAAATGAAAAAGCCTTGGCTTTCTAGCTAGGGCAACCTCATCAGTGTGAAATAGTCTGAGAACTGGTTAATACAGAAAGGCACTGTAAGGCTCAGTGAGAGCGTCTCATCACACCTGCTGCCCACGTAAAGGTCTAGGCAAATCCCAACATTTCATGAAACGTTACAGGATTATTTAACTTCTGTGGATCTACATATCCCTGCTACTACATTTATCATCTATCCTTTTGTATTTTTAAAATTTTTAAAGCTTACATATTTATTATTTTAATTATTAAGTGTGCATTTCAATGATGTTATATTTAGTGAGTAACATTCATGATGCTGTGTCAATAATGAGAAAATTCAAATCTAAATTCATAATCTAGCTTCCACCTTGGGCAATGAAAGAAAAACAGCAGTATAATGTCGAATAGAGGAAAAATAAATAATGATAGCAGAAATTAATAAAATAAAAAACAGGAAATCATCAGAGAAAATCAACAAAACCAAAAACCAGTTCTTTGAAAAGATTAATAACACTGTTAAACCTCTACCTTGTCTAACCTCAAAGGGAAAGAAGGAAGTCATGATGTACTAATAATATCAGTTCAAGAGGAGTGAAATTAAAAAAATAATAATAAAGAAATATGTGAACACATCTGTGCTCACACTTGGAAACATTATATAAAATGAGATAACTTTTTGAATCTCTTTCAGAAGGTTAAAAGTCTTCTCATGATAAATGAATCATCTGAATAGGCCTATATTTATATTAGAAACGGAGTCAATAATTAGTATCTTCTCAAAAGAACAAAAACACTACCTTCAGATGACTTCACTGGTAAATTCTACCAAAATTCTTACAAAGAAATGTAGTTTTACCATACGAGCAAATAATCATAATTTTAGTATTTCCTTAGTTAAATTTTAAAAATTATGTTTCCAAACAAGACACAAGAAGGTTTATAATTGCTGTATTCATAATTGCCCAAACTAAAAGCAAATGTCTAAACATTTGAGATGTCCTTTACTATCAAAAGTGAATCAAGCCTGGGCAACACTGTGAAACCCTGTCTCTACAAAAAAAATAAAATTAAAAAAATAGCTTGGTATAAAGCATGTGCATTACAGCCATCTTCTTGGGAGGCTGAGGTAGAAGGATCACCTGAACATGGGGAGGTAAAGATTGCAATGAGCTGTGACTGCACCAATGCACTCCTGGGTGACAAAATGAGACCTTTTCACAAAAACAAACAAACAAAAAGAACCAAACTCTAAGTTGTCAATGTAACTTTACTTGTGTAGTTGCATCACCCATTGATTTAATGCATTTAAATGGGAACAAATGAAATAAATGAAGAACATGACATAGCATTTACTGAGTTTCTCTGGGACACTCGAGGAGTAAACTGGAATGATTTGCTTCAATAAACTTAAGGATATAATTTCCACCCTACCTTCCTTTTCAATACAACAGATTTTCCTATTCCTCCATTTTTTTTTTAACCAGCTCCTGGTGCGGCCAGCCAAACCTGCAAGGTAGAAATGTATTATAATAAAGACAGTGCTTGACATCTTGCTGGCAGAAGACCACAGAGAAATTAGTAAAAACTTATTCAGTTTAAACTTTTGATCCTGGTTTTTACTGACTGCTTTTCAATGCTACCTGAATTAGATCTGGGTTCTAGGAAGATTTGTTTGTCCAGGCAGATACCTTTATTCAGATGAGACAATATAGAAAAGCAGAAGATCCAAGTAACCAAAAATAGGCTGGGTTCTAATCCTACTTCAAATCTGCACATACCCAGGAGAGGGATATGAACCCATCTGTGCTTCTCTTCCCTATTCTGATATATAGAAACATTAGTAGATCTATGCTGTAGACCTACTAAGGTTTATAGCACCTAAGAGGATGAAATGCAGATAAAGACTTAAAAAGACTCTTTTTTTTTTTTTTTTTGTAAATGCCCTAAAATGTTCAATCATTCAATGTGGAGAAGGATAATCCAGATACTTGGTAGTGGTTAAATATAGAGAGAAAACTTGCATGTCTCCTGTGCAGGGTAGGACAGAAAGTGACTTCACAGTTTCCATGGCCACATAATTTCCAGCTCATGACACAGATCTGTGATTTCCCTAATCCCCACATCAGCTCTAAGGGACAGGCAGGGAAGGGGCTACAACCCATATTTTCCAATTCAGTGAATTAAAACTCAGACGTTTTGAGTGACTTGCCCAGAGTCACCACAGTGAGGAGTGATAGGTCTGAGGTAATAATGTAGTTGGTTCCCTGGGGATAGAGATCCTGGAACACCTGAGTCCTCTAGATCATGCCCTGGACCCTGGACTGAGAGCTCTTCTCACAAGCTTTGTCAAAGCTTGTGGGAAGATCGTGGGATGGTTGAAGCTCTGGAGAGGTGGCAGGTGGCTTACCACATTTACTGACCTACTCTATTATCCCTATGTTGTCACTTTTATTAGTTTTATGACCCATAAGGCAAACATTTTAAGTCTCTCAGTTATGACACATGATCAGAGATTTTACCTGAGTCCACTCTTTCTACCCATAAGGTGATTCTCATCTGCTGGGCTGGAGCTGGCCTGACGTAAAAGAGGACACATAGCATACCACGGAGCTGCTGCGTGCCCCACTCCTGTGAACATGGCATACCACAGAGCTGCTGCGAGCCACACTCCTGTGCACACGGCATACTATGGAACTGCTGCGTGCTGCACTCCTGTGCACGTGGCATACCACAGAGCTGCTGCGTACCCCACTCCTGGGCACACTCTTGCCTTGTTTCTGCTCTGACAATCCTAATTCTGGCTTCCAAACCAATCCTGTATGTCCCTCTTTGTTCTCAGACTTGCCTCAACTGTTGGATATTTTAATCACTGTTGTAGTGACCATGACTGAACTGTGACATTTAATATACCATAGTATATGTTTATCTTTTTATATATTTCTTAATAAAATTTAACTTATTTTTTCAGACTTTCAGGAACATTTCTGGGCTAGGTGTGCTGGCCCACAGCTATAATCCTGACATTTTTAGAGGCTAAGGCAGGAGGATTGCTTAAGGTCAGAAGTTTAAGACCAATCTGGGCAACACAATGAGACCTCGTCTCTACAAAAAATCTTCTAAATGTCACCAGATGTGCTGGTGAGCCCCTGTATCCATAGCTATATGGAAGACTGTTGTGGGAAGATCGTTTGAGCCTAGGAGATTGAGGCTGCAGTGAGCTATGATCACGCCACTGCACTCCAGCCAGGGTAACAAAGCAAGACCCTGTCTCTTCAAAATAAAAAGCATTACTGTGTTACAAGTATCCCCATTTTATTTCTCATTATCTAATATTGCTGTTTTCATCCTGAGGCTTAATTGCTTTAGGAAGCTAAAAATAAAAAGTTTTTTAGACAAGGTAGTATTTAAAGCAGGCTATATGCATGCCTTTTTATAAATTCTAGTTTTATATGCCATATATCTAGAATTTACATTCTTGATCTACTTGGTCTTCTTCTTAGAACCAGCCTCCTCATATGTAACCCAAGTGTAATTCCCATATTACACCTAAATCAAAACATTGAGAGGATAGAATAAAATCAAAGAGCAGTCTGTATTCTACACAAGGCATAATAGATTACAAAGCAAAGCTTTCTCTAACTCAAAGGTGAAAAGTGCACAGTTAACATCCTTTGCAGAACCCATAGCAAAATATTATTTTGAGAAAATATGCACTTTGGCTACCCAGTGAAGGTAGGAGAAAACTGTCACAGGTCATCATCAAGACTTCCCCAACGTTGTCTTTCATTTTTAAATAATGAAATACACATTATTTCTCCTGCTTTCTTTCATGTATATTACTGTATGTTTTCCTTTTGGCTTTTCTGCATACCCTATCTTGGGAATCATTCCATAGCAATAAAAAGACATCTTACTCTTTTTTACAGCTCCATACTTCTTCTTTATGTAGAAGTACCAGCTTATTTTACTAGTCCCTTACTAGGCATGTCAGTTATTTCCAATATTTAACTATTGAAAATAATGCAACAAGAACTTTGCACATAGTTTGTTTTATATTTGTGGAGCATACCTTCAGAATAAAATTCCTCAAAGTAGGATGTCTGGTTCAAATGCATTTTCATGGTTGTGAGATTGTGCCAAATTCCCCTTCATGGAGTTGAGCCATTTTGCATTTCCACCAGCAATATATGAATGCAACTTTCCTTATAGTCACACCAAAAAACGGTTTGCCATGGATTTCCCTCAATAGGAGAGACACTGCAGTAGAGCTGTCATTTGCCTTTCTTTTATGAGTGAAGTTGTGTTTAAAAATCACCTGCATTTCTTTTTCTGTGACTTGTCTATTTACCACTTTATTATCTACTTTTAGTTTCACTTGATTTTTCTCGTCAGCCTCTTTCAGGTCATTGTTGTTTTTCTGTTCACTGTTGGCTCTCACCTGAACTACTCCACCAGCCTGCTACCACCCTTTCCTGTATTACAGTATATTCACACGGAGCTGCTGCTCAGTCTTTTTCTTAGAGAATTAATAGTAATCCTGGGCTATAAGTCCATCTTCTCTGTGAGTGCTCACTACGTATACAAGGCCTTCACCCACCTTATTCATCCCAGCATCCTTTTACTCTGCTGCAGCCACCCTTGCATCTTTCTGTCCTTTGCCTAAAACTGTTTCAATTTCAAAAATTCCAAAGCGGATATCCGTCTCTGAAAGCCCACTCCCATCATCCTCACAGGGTTCCCCTCACTTTTTTATTTTTTAAAATAAATAAGATGGGGTGTCTCTGTGTTGGCCAGGCTGGTTTTAAACTTCCAGCCTCAAGGAATCCCCTCATCCTGGCTTTCCAAAGTGCTGGAATTAAAGGTGGGAGCCACTATACCCAGCCCATTTCACTTTTAAGACAGTTCACATGTCACTGAAAGAGAACATCCAGCTCTTAGCGCCAACCGTCCATGAAACTGCCCTCCTCTTTAATCCATTACCCTGCTTTACTTTCTTCCCAGCATGTCACCACCTGCCATTCTTGACTATTCATGTGCTGGCTGCCCTTACTTCCCTATCAAATGTAAGGGTCAGACTTAGAATGGGGCTCTCTGTTGTGTTCCACTGTTTGCCCTGCATCTGCAACACTGCCAGGCCATTTAAAACTGCTCAATACATATATTTCATTTTACCCCAAACTAGTTAAGTTTCTCCCAATTCTCCCAGATCTGCTAAAGTTGCCTTTTGTTTTATCATCTAAGACAGCATCAGATTTTTTAAACTGGTAGCTATTTAGAATTAATGACACAAGCTATCAAGATCCACAAAAATATAAATGAAGAATGTTAATGTCTATTTAGAAGTCAATGGTAACTGCAGTTTGACACAAGTATATTTTATACTAAAATACCTTAAATACAAAGTGACTCATTTCATTGGTTTAATTATGTCACTAGACAAAATATATTATCTGAATTTCATAACGAGATATCATGCATCTGTCATCAAAATGTGCTTTATGTGTGTTTTTAGAATCAAACATGACAGAATTGTTTCTGACTTTACAAAAAAATATGGCCAATCGCAAAGGGTAGGTAAATAAATAGTGCTTTAACCAGTCTGTAGTACACTAAGCAGTTATTCAAAGTCATCAAGTACAGCAGGGTGCCCTGGCAGGCAAAGACATCCTGGAGTGCTCTCTAGATGTCAAGTACTGTTTGAGAAACTTACACCATTATTTCACTGCTTTAAGTAAAAGTTACAAGGCAGCACATATAAAATGATCAGAAAGTTTTATTTTACAAAAAAGTTTGTGAGATAAAATATTATATTCAAATGCATACCAAAAATTTCCAGAAAAACAGTACTCAAACAGTAACACAAGTGAGCTCTGGGTATTCTGAGTGTAATAAATAACTTTTCTTTATATTTTACATCTTTTACATGAAACATACTGAGTTATTTTAAAAGGAGGGTTCCAAAATAGCTACTAGAAAGCTGAAAGACCTGCTGCTCAGAGGTCTCCACATCATATGCCCATTCTTTCCCTTCCCTGACCCCTCACTTGAGAGAGCCAATAAACTAGCAGCGTTCCTATGGTAAGAACACAAAAGGCTGTATGAAAAGTTGATGGGTAGTGATAAAATTGGATAATGAGCTCCTACTATCTTAATCTGTGTTACTTATATTACCCCCGGTCATATTAAATATACTGCTAAATAAAGGCATGATAGGATGAAATATGTTTGAGTCTGAGATCTAAACTGGGTTCTTAGAACTTCTCTTTGAAATGGCTTCAAGACACAATGTTCTTTTGAAATATTTCAGAAGAGAACAATGAAGCAGAGAATCATTTATGGCATAAGTTCCTGAAACAGGACTTGCCACCTAGAGAGCACTCCAGGATGTCTTTCCACAGCAGTGCGCCCTGCTCTGCCTGATGTCTTTAAATGACTGTTTAGTGTGCCACAGAATGTTCGGAGCACTGGTTGCTGTGATATTTGTCTAAGTCACCAAAAGAATTCAATTCATCATAATAGAAAGGCTAAAATGTTTCACATCTAACTAGGAATTTATCACTTTCCAAGAAAAGTGATACACAATCTTCTGAAATAAAATATTAACAACAAACTTTGAATATGTCTATACTTTATATTGAGTGTTCTGAACATGTTTCTTTCTTGTTTTATTTGCCCAGCCAGGCTGGACTATACTGGCACGATCTTGGCTCACTGCAACCTGCAACTCCCGGATTCAAGTGATTCTCCTGCCTCAGCCTCCCACGTAGCTGGGATTACAGGTATGTGCCACCATGCCTGGCTAATTTTTTGTATACTTAGTAGAGAAGAAGTTTTATCATGTTGGCCAGGCTGGTCCCAAACTCCTGACCTCAGGTAATCTGCCCACCTCAGCCTCCCAAAATGCTGGGATTACAAGCATGAGCCACTGCACCTGGCCAAAGAATAAACACTGAAATATTCTGTTATCTCTTTACTGAATACCACAAAAATACGTTTGAAGAGACATATAGAAACTTACTGTCATGCACATACACATAAAATGGTAAATTCTGTGCTCACAAACTATTTTCTTCAACTGTTCTGACTTAACACTTCTTACTCACAGCCTGTGCTTTAATGTGTGGGGCTTACCTGCCCTCTTGCCAGCTTCTCCCGACCAGGGCATTCTCAGCTTCAAATCAGTTAGCAGAAGAAACTCTTCCATATTCATTAAACTGTTGATTTGACTGGTAAATGTAGGCCATTTTGTTACCCCTACTTTTATCCTTATCTATTTTAATAAATGTATAGACAGAAGGTAGAACCAGGAGAAATGGCACATGTCTGTATTGTCAGCTGTCCTACAGGCTGAGGCAGCAGGAGTGCTTGAGCCCAGGCCAGGAGTCAGAAGCTGGCCTGTGCCACACAGTGAGGACCCATCTCTTTAGGAGGAAAAACAGAGAGGTAAATGTTGCCTGTAAGTTGTGTAAAATAAAATGCAAGAGGAACTAATCAAGATGAAAGTAAGTTCTAAGAGAGGTCTATATTATGGGTAGACCTTAAAATATAAGGCATTCTGGAGTTTGTCAAGTTCTTTAAGAAATGAGTTAAGCATCACTATGACCTCCAATATCTACTTTGATGACTTAGAACCTCAGTTCTGTTCAGTAGCTGTCTCACACAGTCCCTTCAGATCTCTAAGCCTTCCTTTCTGCATCAGCAACATAGGGAGAATATACACAGGCTTTATTTGTATTGGAATGTTCCAATAAGATGTACATGAAAACATGTTTTACATCCTAAAGAATAAAGAAAAGGCTCACTTTGTTCTCTCACTACCTCATCTACCAAATCAGACAGAATATCACACAGAGGCTTGCCATACACGACCAATCAAGAAGTTTCCACAGGTACTTGCATACTTTGTGTATAAGGTACAATCTATTAAGTCTCATAATTATTTGTTTATTCTTTCACAATTTTTCAATATTCTGAAAAGGGAGTACAGCACTTCCTTGTTACAAAGGCACACCCATTGTGAGGCTTAATTATTCTGTGTAAGAATGTAAGAGCCAAACTGAAGTTTAAACACAAGACCTATAAGACATTTTCTCCATACTAATAAAATCTCTGCCATTAAAATGAAAGAAATGAGCTGATCATATTTCTATGTCTTTATGATATAATGTTTTCTATTTCAGTGGACTTAGTTTTTGTTCAAGGAACTGGTTACCCAGAATTATCTGTTGCTAGATTCATCTATTTCTAAAATCCTAAAGGATTTTAGACTGAAGGCTGCTGGCCCTGGCTGATGCCTGTCACCCAAAAAGGCTATGCCACCTGGTTACCAGGAAGCAACCAAGTCAGGCTATTGGCTCACAATGCCCTGCCCCACAGCCCCACCCAATGGCTCACAATGCCCATCCCTGCTGCTGCCCACCTGTGGTCACCGTTCCCCCCATGTGGCTGCATTATTCATCCTGGGCTGCCTGAGCTTTCCAATCCTGAGAAAAGTGGTGGAGGGGAGGGTGGTTGTTATTGGAAGTCATCCTGGGCGCTGAACTCAGTAGAAAACCCTGGTTACTAATGTCAGTTTCATTAGCATCTCTGGTTTTCTGAGTCTGGTAGCTTTCATTTGCTCAACAAATGTAGTGATACACAAATGTTTGACTGATTTAGTAACTAAAGGCTCCTCTCCTGTCTTACAAGTGTTAGTTTTTCTTTTCAATTTGACCATAGCAAAAAAATGAGATGCTTCCTCTCTCCTCCCCTTTCCCATCCTGTAGGAAGGGGAGCCATGAAAACAAACTCTTTTCCATAGGCAGGGTCTGGCCTTCTAACTCTCAAGTCTTCACCTTACAAATTCAAATCTAAAGTCATTTAATCTCTTTTGGAACCTGTAACCATGAGCTAGCTCTACCTGTCTTTCAGAACAAGGAGGTAAACAAAGCCCGTGAAGTTACTGGAGTAGGGCTAAAGAGACATTCATGTCAACGTGGGAATTTTAAAGTAATCAGAGCTCCTCAGCTAAACTTTTGGGTAAAACCAAAACAAAAACAACTTTTTTACAGCTCTGGCAGTAACATTTCTTACCTTTTGCAGTCATTTTAAGCATGTCCCTCAATTTTTCCTTCGGTTTTCAAATTACAATTAGAAGAAATAAAGCTGCTTCTGTCAAGGTGACTTCAAACCATCTATTAAGAACACCATATAATCTCTTCCATGGCAAACTCTATTTTAAATTTAAGAAGTCTCCAAATATTTGAGTCTGAATTGTCCAAATTATTAGCTTCCTTATCGAATAGGAGAAAAGAAATGATTGGGCTTTTAACCGGCTCCTTTACTGAGGTACCATAGCAGCTGGATAGGTAAGGCTAAAGAATGGGATGGAGACTCCAAAACTGGAGTATCTGAATTTTCACTGTGGAAAGAGAGAGACTAGACCAAAAATGCCTCAAGCTAGAAGGCTCAACAACAAAGACAAGAGGCAGGACTAGCCTTTGTCCCCCATGCCCAGCCCTGGGAAAGCTGGCTATAGGCAGAAGGGAGCTGAAAGCTGAGGATGTCTCTGGGGTGAGGGGATGGGAAGGAGGTGTGGGAGGTGGTGGCCAGAGAGAAAATGGCACCCGTGGCTTCTTTACCTTTGCGTCGCTTGATGGGCTGCACATGCTGGTCTTCTGCCACTCCAGAATGTAATATGGCAGGCTCTTCAGTGGTGGTTGCTATTTGTGTAGGATCCACTACCTGAGTCTCACAACACAACAGCACTGCCTGCATGCAGTAGGCACAACCTAGGCCATCCTTGGAGCCTAGGCAATTCCCCATGGATGACCTAAAAGGGGACTTTCAAAACAAAGCAACACACAAAATAAGAAGAAAAAAAAAAAAGAACAATGAGAACACATGGACACAGGGAGGGGAGCACTACACACTGGGTTCTGTTGTGGGGAAATAGGGAAGGGACAGCAGGGGGTGGGGAGTTGGGGAGCAATAGCATGGGGAAAAATGCCAGATATAGGTGATGGGGAGGAAGGCAGAAAATCACACTACCACGTGTGTACCTATGCAACAATCTTGTATGTTCTTCACATGTACAACCACCACTAAAATAAAAAAAAACAAAAAAACAAAACAACAAAAAAAAAAAACCAAAAAAAAAAAAAAAAAAAAGAAACACACAAAATAAAAAAAGAAAAGAAAAGAAAGAAAAAGTCAAGCAACAGAGCAAGTGCCAAGGGCACGAACACTTCTATGAGAGTCGTCAGAGCTCTTCCTCCTCCCACTACCAGCTTCTGACTGAAGGCTGCTGGCCCTGGCTGATGACTTTCACCCACAAAGCCTCCTATGTCATCTGGTTACTAGGAAACAACAAAGTCAGGCTAGTGGCTCACAATGCCCATCCAGTGGCTCACAATGCCCTTCCCTGCTGCTGGCCACCCTGCCCCTCTTGGTGACTGCCTTATTCATCCTGAGCTGCCTGAGATATTCCATTTTTCACCATAGGCCTCAAAAAAACCCAGAAATGTCCCTTCATAGATTCTATATAGAGAGTGTGTCTAACCTGTGAATAAAAACAAAGGTTTTGTTCTGCATGATAAATCCACAAACACAAAGCATTTTCACAAAATCCTTTGGGGCCCACCTCTCACCTTCAGCTTCCTGTTCTTAGTTATTTGGGCTTCTGTCTTGTATGCTTTGTCATGTTCTAGGCCTTGTAAGGGTGAGTTCCATGTCTCCACTCATTTATATGTGCCCAGGATGGTTGGCTCTTGGGAGGGTCTTCATGGTGATTGAGGCCATGGATCCTTCGCACTGTTCCTTGAATCCACTTGATGCAAAATACTCATCCTGAAATGATGCTTTGAAAATGATGCTTCCAGTCAATTAGGGGCCAACTGTATTATGGATCCCTAGTACCCAATACATGGCTTATAAGAAATGAATGAAAAATGAGAGAATGAACTCAAGTGTGCTTACAAGGTGAGAGAAAAATGGTCCTACTTACTAGGTGTGCCACAAAGGCATCTGGGATCATTGGCTTTGCTATTTCATAGTAGGCCTGGGGCTTTGAAGGCTGGTATTTCCTCATTCTAGACCTCAAATTCCAATAAATTACCACCAAGTGGACAAAGGTCCATGGGCCAGAGCTCTTGGTGTGAACAACATACCTTTTTTGGGTGTGATTAATAGACAGGGACTATACAAAACTAAAAACAATGTTTGTGTGCTGACTACCTACAAGCCATGGTGATAAAACACTGTATACATGATCTTATTCAATGCTTGTTACAAATCCATGAAGTGGATTTTTACACAAACTTTCTATTTGAGCTTTTTGGAACAAGAGGCTAGTGTAGTGACTTTAACCTACTTAGCAGCAGATTCAGATATTTGTTATCTGATGGCCAATCTCTTTACATGTATACTCCTACATGCTTCTCCTTCCCGCTCATGATTTTATGGCAAATCCCACACATCATATAATTTCCTCCCTGACTGTCTTGGTATATGTCTGTAAAAGATATGATTCTTGTTTGTTCTTTCAAGACAAGGTTTCTGTCAACCAGGCCACAGTTCAGTGGCATGATCTTGGTTCACTGTGGCATTTCCTGCCTCAGCTTCCTAAGTAACTTCCTGAGCATCTACAGACTCACACCACTATGCCAAGCTAATTTTTTAATTTGCATTTTAGTAGAGACAGGGTCTTGCTATGTTGCCCAGGCTGGTCTAGAATTCCTGGATTCAAAGGATCTTCCTGCCTTGACCTCCCACACTACTGAGATTATAGGTGTGAACCGCCATGCCCGGAGACAAGAACTCTTTGAAAAATATAATAATCCCAATACCATCATCAACCAACCATCTCACACCATTACTCTTTATCACTGTCAACTCTCCTTCTAGCTCCAAATTTCCAGTCATTTCATGTATTTATTGTGTGAATCATGATCCAAATAAAGTCTCTCCTTGGAATTGTTTGATTCACCTCTTAGGGTTTTTTTGATCCTGACAACTTCTCACTTTGATCTCTGTGCTGTCCCTTGCAGTCAATTTATTGAATAAATCAGGCCACTTCCCCATAGTTTGGATTATGCTAAGTGTGTTCTTATTATGCTGTTTCTCATACTGTGAATTTTGCTAATTGTATCTTGTGATGTTGGTTAACTTGCTCTTCACTTTGTTCTAGTTTTGACAAATTAGTAGTTTGATCTCAAGACTTGGTGAGATTCAGGTTGGACTTGAGGGTCAGGTCAAAGACTAGTTTCTTCTAGGAGGAGGTGTGTACTTTCTGGACATCTTTTTTTTTTTAATTGGTGATGTTAATGGCCACTGATCAATTATGGATTGAATAATGAAAATATTCTTGTATCATTCCTTTTTCATTTATGAGCTGCCATACTTCCAGAAAGAGATACTGCTACATGAAGAAGGGTCTTGCATGAAGAAAAAAATGCAGCAAATATAAAAGAGATTCTGCTTCTTATAAACTGTGTTACTCACTTATACAACTTATATAGAAAACACCAGTTCATGGCTTGATTTCTTCTGTTTACCATTTTTCAAAATGATGGGCTGTTTCATTTATATCCTTCAATGGTGACCACTTCTATTAATTAATTTATTTAGACAGGGAGGGTCTAGCTCTGTTGCCCAGGCTGGTATGCACAGAAGCAGTCATGCCACTATAGCCTCAAACTTCTAGGCTCAGGTGACCCTCCCATCTCAGCTTCCTGAATAGCTGGGACCAAAGATATGGGCCTTCAAACCTGAGTAATTTAAAAAATGTTTTGTAGAGACAAAGTCCCCCTATGTTGCACAGGCTGGTCTTGAACTCCTGGATGAAGTGATCCTCCTAACTCAACCTCCCAGAGTGTTGAAATTACAGGCATGAGGAACTGTGCCAGCCTACTTTTATTTTTTCAAAAGGATCATTATGAATGCAGATATTCAAACATATCTGATATATCTCAATACACTGCAACTATTATTCTTATTAATGTAGAAAATGTCCTATCTTTGGTTAGGAGTCCCTTCAGATTGGCCCTTCAGACATGTTGAAATCATCCTAATAATCTTTGATAGATTCTTTGCTATCCAGAGTGACAATATGTTCCAGGCTCCTTACACATTTCTGGCCTAGACCTGGAATCAGCACTTTCTCCAGGAAGGCTTGTTTTCTTTCATTGGGCAATGGTATTTTGAGACTATATTGAGACTACAATCTTGGTGCTAGGGGTAAATAGTATAATTTTAAAACTTAGAAAACTGCCTGGCTCATGCCTGTAATCCTAGCACTTTGGGAGGCTGAGATGGGTGGATCACCTGAGGTCACAACTTTCAGACCAGCCTGGACAACATGGTGAAATCACATCTGTACTAAAAATACGAAAAATTAGCCAGGCATCATGGCAGGAGCCTGTAATCCCAGCACCTTGGGAGGCGGAGATGGGCAGATCCCAAGGTCAAGAGATCAAGACCATCCTGGCTGACATGGTGAAACCTCATCTCTACTAAAAATATGAAAATATTAGCCAGGCTCAGTGGCACTTGCCTGTGGTCCCAGATATTCCGGAGGCTGAGGGGGAAGAATCGCTTGAACTCAGGAGGCAGAGGTTGCAGGAAGCTAAGATTGGGCCAGTGCACTCCAGCCTGGTGACAGAGCAAGACTCCCTCTAAGATAAACAAACAAACAAAGAAAGAAATAAATAAGTAAATAAATGCAAGACTGCCTCTAAATCATTATACAGATAGTTAAAAAATGAATAAATGCAAGCCTGCACACAAATACATAAGTATAAAAATAATGTTGTGCGCCTGGGTCTCAATAAAATAAATGAGTAAATGTGAGCCTACCTCTAAACAATTAGATAGCTAGACAAATACATAAATAGAAGTAGGCCTCCAAATACATAAATAAATAGATAAGTAAATTCGACCTGCTTCTCCATAAGAACGTCAGCAAATAAATAAATGAATAAATGCAAGTCTGTCTCTAAATAAATCAATTGATAGATAAATAAATCAATAAGTAAGCTGCCCCTCTTGGCGGCTTATGTTTTTAATCCCCCACCCATTGGGAGCCAGAGCCAGCAATACCACCTGAGGTCAGGCATCGAGACCAGCCTGGCCAAGATGGTGAAAAAAAAATTCCTATCTCTATTTAAAAAAATAATAAGGTGAAAATAATTAACTTACTAAATAAAAATATAAATAAATAAATGCAAGCCGGCCTTCCTGCCTCTAAGTAAATAAATCAGTAATTATGTAAATAAATAAACAAAGGCCAGGTGAGATGGCTCATTCCTATAATCCCAGCACTTTGGGAGGCCAAGACCGGTGGATCATGAGGTCAAGAGATCGAGACCATCCTGGCCGACATGACGAAACCCCGTCTCTACTAAAAATACAAAAATATTAGCCAGGCTCGGTGAGACTCGCCTATGGTCCCAGATATTCCAGAGGCTGAGGAGGAAGAATTGCTTGAACTCAGGAGGCCAATGTTGCAGTAAGCCAAGGTTGGGCCAGTGCACTCCAGCCTGGTGACAGAGCAAGACTCCCTCTAAGATAAACAAACAAACAAATAAATAAATAAGTAAATAAACGAGAGACTGCCTCTAAATCATTTTACAGACAGTTAAGAAAATGAATAAAAGCAAGCCCACACACAAATATGTAAGTATAAAAATAAAGTTGTGAGCCTGGGTGTGAATAAAATAAATGAGTAAATATGAGCCTGCCTCTAAATAATTAGATAGCTAGATAGATAAATACATAAATCCAAGCCTGCCTCCAAATATATAGATAAATAAATACATAAATTCAACCTACTTCTACATAAATACGTCAGCAAATAAATAAATAAATGCAAGTCTTTCTCTCAATAAATCAATTAATAAATAGATAAATAAATCAATAAATAAGAAACCACTCTTGGTGGCTCATGTTTTTAATCCCCCACCCATTGGGAGACTGAGCTGGCTATATCATCTGAGGTCAGGAAATCGAGACCAGCCTGGCCAAGATGGTGAAAGAATCCCTTTCTCTATTTTAAAAAATAAGATTAAAATAAATAAATAAGTAAAAATATAAATAAATAAATGCAATCCAGGCTTCCTGCCTATAAATAAATAAATCAGTAATTATGTAAATAAATAAATAAAGGCCAGGCAACATGGCTCAATCCGGTAATCCTAGAACTTTGGAAGGCCGAGACACTTGGAACATGAGGTCAAGAGATCGAGACCATCCTGGCCAACATGGAGAAACCCAGTCTCTACTAAAAATACAGAAATATTAGCCAGGCGTGGTGGCACACTCCTCGGGTCCCAGCTACAAGGGAGGCTGAGGCAGAAGAATTGCTTGAACCAAAGAGGGGGAGGTTGCAGTGAGCCATGATTGTGCCACTGCACTCCTGCCTGGTGAGAGAGCAAGAATTCATCTAAAATCAATAAATCAATGATCCGATCAATCAATCAAGAAACGCAAGTCAGCCTCGAAATCATTACATAGATAGTTAAGAAAATGAATAAATGCAAGCCTGCACACAAATACATAAGTATATAAATAAATGTCAGCCTGTGTCTAAATAAATAAATGAGTAAATGTAAGCCTTCCTCTAAATAATTAGATA